ACTGAACGCGGCAAATATCACTACCCCCAGGGCAACGAATGCAGGCGGGGCAGGTAGCGACACCTTCGGTTCGGGGAGGAGGGAGAGGCAATCTATTCGCGCAGAGAACGGAGGAGATAACTGAAGAAGGCAAGCAACGCCTGCGGGAGATAGTGGCTCGGATGCAACCCCCACCGGACACAGACGGCGGTCGCAAGTATTATCAAGCTCAGGTTGAAGCATGGCGCAGACAATACGGGAATGGAAGTACAAGGCCGCCACTAGAGCAAATCGGGTTCCCGCTTAAACCGGGGACGGTGCCAGCCTGCTCGGGCGAATGCTTTCAATGCGGACAACTCACTATTCCACAGCACATGTCTTCGGACTGCGATCGCGAAAAGGTTCCGAAAGAAGAACGCCAGTTCAGAATTATATGCAACCGAATCTTAGGAAGAAAGCGAGCGGCAGCGCCAGCGGGAGCGGCAATGATCAACTACCTTGCGCTGAAGATGGAGGACTACACGGGAGACGACGACAACGAGGATTTTGGACGAGGACTGTCCGGGTAAATGGCCCACGGACAGTCCGGGATTCGCGGCCAAAGGAAAGCCACGAACCCTCCGAGTTACAACGATTATGTATGAATTCAAGCACGCGAATCAACATTATTGACTTGTACGAGGCGGGTATCGAAGGAAAAGACGGATGTGAACCGTTTGAGTATACGGCGACGATGAGTGGAATAAGAGGAAAGGTCGAGATAAGAGCGCTATTCGACGGAGGAGCACTGGTGGGGGCATTGGACAAGAGCGTATGGGAAAAGAACCGAGATAAGTTGGGAAGGGGAAGACCGTCAACAACAGTACTGAGGATGGCAAGCGGCCAACTGGTACCGTCAATCTGTTGCTGGGTAGGCGACATTGACATCGAGGGAGTAAGGGCGAAAGTCACACTGGAAGTATTCGACAGCGGGGGCGGATGGGAACTGCTATTCGGAAAGCCGTTGCAGGCGCTATTCAACGCAGTACACGACTACAAAGCCGACGTGATACAGCTAAGGAAGGACGACAAGCAAGTAATGCTCAACAACCAAGCAAGGCCAAGAAAGAAGCAAAAAAACCCACCAAAGGAAACCGCAGTGGTGCAGGAATCAAACCAGCGGCAGGAAGAGGTCGAGATTGGGGACTGGGAGGAAGAGGAGGAGATGGAAGAACAAGGGAAAGAGGAGAAGGGGAAGACGAGGGTTGAGGAAGACAGGGAGATCGCAGCGGAAGCAATGAGGGCGCTAGGAATGGAGGAAGTGGGAGACACGGGGGCCGAGGAAGCCCCCGCAAGGGAAGTCGAGCCGAGAATGGAACAAGAACCAAGCGGAAAGGCTGACAACGTTTTCGAGGTGCAAATGAAACCAAACATTTTCACAAGGGCGACGGACCCATTCAACCCAGCAAGGGTGGCAAAGATTGTGGAGGCGGTCAAGATAGGCGAAGATGTAACGGAGGAAGAGAGGATCAAGGTAAAAGACTTACTGATGGAATTTGCAGACATATTCGCGCTGGCTGTAAGCGAAGTCAACGCCGTAAAGGATGCGGAATACGCGCCGAACATACCCAAAGACCGCCAATTTAGCACGAAGATTCACCAAAAGCCACTGTCGCAGCCGCAAGCGGAGTACCTGAGAGAGCAGGTCAAGGTACTAGAGGAAGCGGGCATTATCAGGCAGATCCACCCAAGAGAAGTCAAGTGCGTGTCGCCAATCAAACTCGCGCAGAAGGAACATGAAGGCGATGGAATGACATTGGAAGAGCTGCAACATACTCTGAACGATGAGTGTATAAAGGAGGGTCTACCACCAATATACGATCTACCGCCAAGACCGGAGAAGAAGGACAACGCTCAAGCAGTGCCAAAACAACCCAAGTGGCGGATCTGCCAGAACTTCTACGAGCTGAACGAGCTCATAAAAGTCGTTCCCATGCCACAAGGAGACATTCGTGAGAAGCAAAGGAGGCTTTCGGGCCACCGATACGTGTCGGTCTTCGACTTTGCTTCAGGGTTCTTTGCAATACAAATCGCAGAAGACGTCCAGCCGTACATTGTAATGTTCGTGCCCGGGCAAGGGTATTATGCTTACAAACGAATGCCTTTTGGGTTAACGGACGCACCAACCGAATTCGCACATATGGTGGCCACAAAACTATCCGATATACTGGTGAAGCGGATCATCGAGCTATTCGCAGACGATAGTGGTTCAGCGGCGGACAGCTTCAAGGAAGGGATGGAGAAGCTGAGGCTGATCTTCACGCCGGATAAGAGAAGAAAACCTATCATTATCAGCCGCTAAAACTAAACTGTTTATGACAGAGGCAGTGTTCGCGGGAGCCAAAGTCGGACCGAATGGAGTATCACCTGACCCAGCCAAGATGACGGCAATCGTGCAATGGCAGAAGCCGGAGGACGCGGCAAATCTGGCGGCGTTTCTGGGACTGACGGGGTATTTCAGGGACCTAATCAAGAATTACGCAAAGCTGGAGAAGCCGTTGCGCGACTTATTAGCAAGAGCGGACGTACCAGCGGGTGCCAAGAAACCTGTGTACCAAGCAGCAATGAGGGGGTTCAAGCTCGCACCGTTATGGACAGAAGAGCACTCAAAAGCATTTATAGGGTTGAAAAACAAGCTGCTATCAGAACCGGTCTTAAGGGCGCCTAACTACGAGATCGTCGACAAAAGCCCGTTTATCATCACTACAGACGGCAGCAAACAAGGCTTCGCAGGAATATTATCACAAAAAATGCCGACAACCCTACCGGGAGGGAAGGAAGTGATCAGGAGACACCCCATAGCCTTCGCTTCGAAACGGACATCATCCGCGGAAGAACGGTATCAGCCCCACTTACTAGAATTTGCTGCACTGAAATATTCGCTAGACAAGTTCTCAGATATTGTGTGGGGCCAACCGATAAAGCTGGAAACAGATTGTCAAGCGTTGAGAGACATCATGGTAAACGAGAAGCTCAACGTGACACACACACGCTGGCGGGACGGCATCTTAGGCTACAACATCGTCGGGGCAGAACACATCAAGGGCAAAAATAATGTGGTAGCGGACGCCCTGTCAAGAGCAAACGAAGGAAAACCGAGGGAGAAGGGTGATGGAAGCGAGTGGTCGGTATCTCCGGATTGGGAAGCCCGGACAGGCCTGGTAAACAATGTATTCTCGGTCCAGATGGCGGACGGGGATTACCTCGTGATGCCAGTACCGGAAGGCACAGCAGAGTTGAGGGAGAGATTCAAGAGCGAACCGGTATACCTGGAGGTAATCAATGCACTGACAGAGCTAGATTTTGGCACAAGCGAACGGGAACGCAAAAGAGCGCGGCATAGAGCTTCACAGTATTTCATTGAGGAAGGAAAACTATGGAGACTCGGAGGCCCAAAGGGTGGACGCGCAAGGTCGAGAAGGGAGTGCATCACCAAGGCCGAGGCGAAGCAACGGGCAGCAGAAGCACACGCTAAAGGGGGTCACTTTCACCGAGACCACATTAAAATTAAGCTGATGGACGAGTATCACAGCCCGAAGCTGGACGATTCTATTGTGGCAGCAATAAGGGAGTGCAGCGAGTGCAAGAATTTCGGACCAGCAGGACTACACGCGCTACTCAGGCCAATAATACGCAGACATCCGTTCGAACTCATCGCGGCGGATTACATGACATTACCGAAGAGTGTCGAGGGCTTCAAGACAACAGGCTTGTATATAGACGTGGCCTCGCAATACGTGTGGGGAGAGATCTATACGGGGGCGGGAACGGGAGGCGAGACCGTCAAAGTATTGGACGACATATTCCGCGACTTCATGCCGGCAGAGGCACTCATGGTGGATAACGGAACGCACTTCGTTAACAACGCAGTCAAGGCAACATGCGACAAGTGGGGCACCAAATTTATGCCAGTACCAAAATACTCGCCATGGGTTAATGGACTGGTGGAAGGAACCAACAAGCTACTGGTCTACGTGCTGGCCAGGCTCTGCGCACCAAAGCTAGGAGAAGACGGATGGAAGAAAGCGAAGGTAGACGACCTGCCAGCAACCTGGCCGAAGTATTTCAGGCAAGCGCTACACATTCTGAACCAACGTATACTGCCGTCAATTAGATTTACACCAAAGGAGATACTGTTTGCACAAGCAGTAAATACGACAGCGACACCATTCCTAGTAGCGGAAACACGACCAACGGAAGCGGACGTGCAGAAGCACATGGCGTATGCGGAACAACAACGTCTGGACGCATACGATAACAGACTCATGTACGCGAGCGGAAGGAAGGCAGCGTTTGATAAGAAGGTAAAGGACTCGCGCGCGGGGGAGCTGACATTTGTAGAAGGGGACCTCGTGCAGGTGTATGACACGGCGAGGATGAAAACACTTAGCGCAGACAAGAAGATCAAGGGACCATGGAGCGAACCTTACCGAGTCAAAACCAGAAGGGTCAACTCATACGAGCTCGAAACGCTGGACGGGATAGCGACAACAGGACACTACAGCACCAGGAGACTGAGGCCATTCACACCAAAGGACGGAACTCAGCTGAAACAGGAACACGATATATTCATGGAGAATCTAAGGAGACGACAGAAGGAGAAGGGACACGAGGAAGGAGAGCGAGTGGAAGAGGAGAGGAAAAAGGAGCGCGAGAAGGCCGAGCGGCACAGAGTCTCCCAGATGGAAGCCGAGTTGAGCAGTTGGGAAGGCCAGCAGGCGGCGAGGACGCCGCCATTTTAAAAGGGGGCACCTGTAGTAGGGTGATCAGCCATCATGTCACATAGTTACATCATCAGATTCATCAGCAGCTACCTACCACTAGCGGGCGAGTGAGCATACCACAACGTTGGCGTTCGTGACGGGTCATTTGAGGTGCTCTTCAACGCCTGTGCCCCCGCTGGGTACTCGATAAACCGGCAGCTGGGTGTCCCCAAAGGCTTTGCCCCATTCTTGCTCGACAAGCACGACATCTCGAAGCGGATGTACCATTCGCCAGGCTCTATTATAACCACAGCGTCAATATGCGAAGTATCCATAGGCGTCGGGGCGTCATCTGTGATCCCCCCGTAAGTATTTAAGGAGTATTGAGAATGGTTGACAACTGACCACAACGCTTAGATGCCTCCCAGCAAGTGCCGGTAGCAGCGTACAACTGAGTTTCAACTCGAAAGTTGGCGCAGCTTTGGTCCTCCCTCAAGGAGCCTCACGCGAAAACTTGCTGCCCGAATCCCATTTCCGCGAATTCGTCCGCCATCACGCTGAGGACTGGTACAATTTTGCAGAAGCATCGGGCTATCTGGGAGGAGCAGATACCGACGCGGGGGAGGACCTCTTTGTGGTTACGGGTTGCGACAAGACGTCCTCATGGGGTATAGCGACCGCGTCAAGCCTGAGCACAACCGTTGGGTTCTCGCTCAAGCTGGAGTTGGTGGGGTTGGTGGAAGGGAAGCTGGAGCCCAGGTTTGAGTGGCATCGAATCACTACATCAGCTGTTCGGCTGTCGTCCAGTAAGGCGGACGACCTGCAAAACCAGTGTGTTTTCGTCCTAGGTTTCACTATCCCAAAACAGCGCCGGGGATCATGGTGGAAGTATGCGTTGAACAGAGTTGGAAGGCCAGCGACGCCAACGTTGTCGACCCGTCATCAGAGGCAAGCGGTATCCCCAGTGGAGGCAGACGGATCTGCATTCACGCAAGGTCAGTTGGCCAATGTCGTGCGATTGAGAAAACGCTCACCAAAGACAGTCAATAGAGGGAACTCATGACACGAGAAGATTCTTCCTTCCATCTCTATAAACCAATCATGTCGAACCCTCACACTTTTAACGAAGAACATACCCAAGATGCTGCGCCGCCTCAACTCATTCCTCGATAGACCAGAGCTGGATGTCAAGAGAAGACATGACGGTGCATAGAGGCGTGGTCTCGCCGGCTACAAAGCAGAGTCATGAGTATTTCGAGGTAATGCCTTCAGAGCTTGAGCTATCGAGACGAAAAGTTAGCTCAACGAAGGGATTGACAAAGAGCAAGCACCTTGTGGTTCACCGGCTAATGCGTGTCGTTTTTGGCGCGAAAAAAAGTTACACCGTAGTTGTGCCATCTTGGAGGACTCGATAAGCATTGTGTTCGACGCCTCCTTGCGCTGCTCGCAGTAAAGAGCAAGATGTGCGTCGGCTTGACGTTGAGCGCTGTTCCCTCCGTCGTTGACGTTGGGCGCTGATGTTACGGCACTGCATCAGCCGTGATAGAGTTGGTACCAAACTAGCCGGTTTAGGCGTAATTTAAGAGCAAATTAAGTGATGGCATCATTCTCTTATTCATGCAGAACGTATCCAAGACCCAACGTCCATCCACACACTCTCTGCTTTACTTGTTCTTTCCACTAAGTACAGACCGATCGCCCCGGATTTTTCAAGCCCCCGCAAACAGTCACATCATGAACCCTAGATTCCGCTCTCCTCAGAATCGGAAACACGCCCACTCCGCGGCCCCAGCGGCTTGGGCTCTTCAGATAGCGTAGAGCGCGCCGCATCTCCCATTTTGTCCTGGATGGCTTGGTATTGCCCTGGCGGGGGAAGAGGGTCAGACTGAAGCTCAGTTTGATCGTGAACTTGGCCTGAATCCCGAATATTCGCCATCCTGCTTGCAGACTCTCCAACCCATGGACGCGTGAATTGTGGTGCAGACGCGTTGAACTCGCTGCCTGCTGCCGGGATAGTACGAATTGCAGCGTTCACGACGTTTCCGAAGTCAAGCTTTCCATGGGCCAAGAGCTTTGCGCCTTTCGCCGCTGTCTTGGCCGCTGCCGCGTCCTCGCACACATCGCCGCAGTAGTTCGACCCCGGGTACTTGGTTGAGCTTTTGCAGTGCTATTCGGACGCGTCAACGCTCAGCGGTCGGTAAAGGAACAACACTGACGATGCAAAGCAACGCCTTTCTGCTGCACATCACGGAGCAATACTTCGACTGCATCTTCTTGGACTGCAAGTGACAATACTGCAAGTAGGTTTTTCATTAGTCTTGGGAGGCGAATCAAACAACATACGTCGCAAAGCGATTGGGCTGTGAAAGCCTCGGGGCTGGGAGGGGGAGGAGTGGTCATGCTTGTAAGTTGTAAGTATCCGCGATGAACCGTTCAGTTGCTTTATATTAAAATGGGGGGGTGTGTGTTGCTTATTGTTCAGAGACAAGGGCAAGTTTGTGGTGCTTGTCACTGCTTGATGTGTGGGTCCAGCTGCTGACTCCAGCATCAACGTGTTGCCAACAACCGTCTTCCAAGACTGTTTGTGGGCGACCGACGATACTTGGGAAGTTGCCGTTTCCTTCAAGTCATACTTACAGCTACTTAGTTGTTTGTGGACCACAGGGACTGTAATAACACAATTTTATCCTCCGATTCTGGTACCTCACACAGAACTTGAAAGGACACAAACCATTCAAGTTGTGATTCGTCTCATCGGTAAGAGCTACAGCTAAGAAATACAAACAGCTTATGCTTGAAAAACACAAAATGCATCAGATTTTCAGGAAACGGTGATTTCGGAGACCACAAGACTGGGCGGCAGATCTACCTCCTGCAGTTTGACGTCCTGCAAGGACATCGTGCTCATACTCGAGCGCGGAGACAGCACACGCGTGCCGTCGGGGGCAATGTGACAGGCGTCAAGCAATTGTCTCCAGTATTCGTCTTTCTCGAATTCGAAGTGGTTGTCGCCGCCGAAGTCAGCGTCAAGCTGGGAGGCGGGGATGAGGGACAACAGGGGCGGGTTGAAGCGCATCTGGTTCATTGGTGAGACGAGGTCAAAGAGAGAAGCAGGAATGTTTGCGCGCCTTCTCCCGCGTGACTGGGTCGAGGAAAGGCGAGATGCCCTTGAAGAAGAAGTTCAGCAGGGGAGGGAGGTTGACGACGATAGCGCGGCCAAGGGTCTCCGCGTAATGTCGCTGCAAGATATTCAAAACCTAAGTTTCGATAAATGACCGACTACGAATTTGAAGGACGGACGGACCTTGCGCGCCACGGCAATCGACGGGTTAGTGCGTAGTGTGGTTGATTTGTAGTCGACGATTATGGCGACCGATTCTTGGCCCAGCGGCATCAGGTCTTTGGCGCGTTCCCTGTGATTCGGTTTGTCAGCATATTTCGATCGGACGGGATAGCGGAAGGACGCACAAGCACCACACGAGATACCTCACCTGCCGCGGGCTCGTCTCCGTGTTTTCCCGACCGGGGCGGACGTAGAGAATTGGCCGGCCCTCGTTGTCGAACCCGTTGAGTATCCTGGCCGTCAAGTGGTCAGTAACAGCAGGTGGCTCATAGACTCTTACAGTTTCCCCGTCTCGCTTTCAACCCGCACCTCGTCGGGTGTTATCAAGTCGGGCTGGTACTCGCGCCGCCATTCCATCGTAGCGCGAATTCGCTTCTTTGCATCTTCTAACTGCCATTTTGCGGCGCGCATATACCGCGGATGCGTGTCCAGCCGAGAAAGGAACCGCTGCTCCCATAAATGGTAGCTATGGGTGTGTGGTAGGGCAATGGTCGACGTGTACTATGAACAGAGGCTTGGTCACCAGCAAATATCGGCCGCAAATTCGACTAACCGCACTTAAGGCCGCTATTTGTGCCTCCTGCTCCATCGTATAGCGGTAAATGGGTCCAACCACCACGTTCGAAGGTGGCGTGGTGATAATTCGCCGAGTAGTCGTTATCTTCGGTTGTTCGCGAGGCATCCTCGAGTAAGCTTGGAGAAGAAAGGGAGTCGGTATGAGGGGAAGGAGGCATATCCCGATGCGCCGTTTTTATATTTCGCGGCATACCGCGGCGGCGAGTGGATGTGATGACTGGGTGAAGCTGACGCGCATGATGTAATCACCCAAGCAGGGCGCCGTCCCTCCGTCCGTTGAATAAGGCTAAACGGGATGGACACGGCCGATGTCAGACAATGACGGAGCTTGAACATGTTTGAGGTTTGAAGGTCATTCTCTGACCAAGTGCCGATTTTGTCAGTCTTTGTTGTGCCGCAACTTGTGCGGATAACTTGAAAAATTTGGGACTTTCAAGCTTGTGTCCGTGTGTTGTCATGGCTGCGCTGTGAGTCCTAAATCGAGGCTGGGAATCCAGGCGAGCCCAGTCTTAGCATATGGTCTATGTGCAGAGTTCAAGGAGGGCGTTGTTATGGTTTTGCTAAACAGTCAGAACGTTGCTGACACATCAGCTGATCACATGACATCACCACCAAGGAAAGATTTGACTCCTGCGAGCATGCATTATATTTCTATCTGTACAACTTCATATGTTTAATATGGTATGCTAGCCATACTAACAACCGTCATATAATTGGTTCTTCGGAAACTCGTATCCCGCCTGTTCCCAGGTCGTAAGATTAGGATTCGTGTAGACATTAGCGTGTCTGTGGGTTGTAATCAGGAAAGATAAACGCTGGCTGCAGAGAAACGCCTACTGTTGGATATAAGCAGCTGTTGGCCGACTGGGTGGGTCGCACGTGACGCCGTTTTTCGTGCCAGGGAGCTGGTAGACCCGCACGTAGTCAATGAGAAGCTCGGCCGGGAGGACCAGCCGCGTGAAATCCGGAGCTTGAAAGGACGGTGAGATGCCCAAGTTGAATATAATGTACTGAAAGAAAATGTTAACCAAGACGGTCAAAAGAGGTACATCTAAAACAGACCATTGGCTCCTCAGAAACAAGTCTCGCGCCAACCTCAGTCCGACTGTCAGGCCCCAGAGCGTCATCGGTAATGGACCAAGTCCTATTTCCCTGCGCATACCAGCTCACATAAGAGTCGCCCCTCTTGTCGGGATTCGAGTACCATTCCACACCATACCGCGCGTAACCATTCCCGCCATAGACGGACGGGTCAATGAAGGTAAGCGCAGACAACGTCTCTTGGTACTCGTTTCCAATGAACTGATTGAGCGCAGTTTTTACGGGATTGTCGATATGTGCCGCGGAAGAGTCGTTTTTCCAAGCTCGTTGTGCGTCGTATGGGGCGATTTGGTAGGACTGCGAGACTTGACCACGGTAATTTGTTCCCTCGATTTCGATAAGAGCCTCCAGAATATCAAGCTCTGGCGCTCCGCGACCAACAAAATTACCCGCTTTGAGCGGTCCAGGATGGTCGCTATGAGGGCAAGTGCATGCAGAAAGGCGTTGACCTGGGAGAAAGCTGATGCTTTCTCCATCTGCACCGATGCTGGCAGCAGGCTGGCCATTGCGAGCCGTCTGGTTAGGAAAGGTCCCAACGTCGCATTCGCTGTAGCTATACCTGGATATGAAAGTAAGAACAGCTTAAACAGAAAATTAAGATGCATACGGCCATGTTCCATCTGTTGTTCCTCCATAGCCCGCTCTCCCCAAATTTCCCATTGTCCAGACACCAGGCCAGAAACCGACTTGTGAGGACGACCCAGGAAGACTGAGCGAAACCTCGATGTACGCAGTCGTGAAACATACTTTATTACAAGACTGAAGCATGCCTAAAGGGGAGCTAAATAAAACGGAGATATAGACGAAAAGCAGACAATACCACTCTGAAAGCCGAGGTCGTGAGTGCTCATGTTAGAAAGTGTGATGACAAGCTTTCCATCACGCGTTGTTATAGCCTATGCTTCGTTGAAACAGTAAAAGACTCAAAAAGCAGAAACATACGGCAGGGTCATACCACTCTAGGTCTTCAGTCATCCAGTAGTGTAAATCGACAGCTTCCCAGTATGGATCGTCGCCAGGGTAAAATGATCTTGCATCTTGGTTGAACTCGTCGCTGAAGACCAGTTCATAACGTTTCCCGTCTGGGTTTATGTACTCCATCGCGCCTTCTGGCGTGTCAGGATCGATAAGACGCGGGAAATGATTCCCCAACGCAGGGACCTGCCCCGACGCGTTGATTCCCCCCAGGTTAAAGCCCCCATTGGCATTTGGCGATGATCGAGGGCGAATCAGGAATAGTGTTATAGGGTAGCCGATGAACAGCGCAAGGAGCGCCAACGATATGGAGAATATCGCCAAAATGTTGCTCCACCCTCGGAGCGAAAAGACCATTGCCACGCGGTTTTGGAAGTAATGTCTCGACCGCGACTCTGGCAGGCCATTGTGAACCGTGTCGTCGAGGTTGATATTCCGCCCCCATTTCGCGCTGACCGTTTCTGAACGCGCTAACGGCCCTGGTTCGGCGCGTTTGTCTCTTCTGGGACGGTTGACGTTGGGGTCTAACTGAAGTAGCAATGTCAGTCTGAGCCAACGATCTACCAAAACATTCAACTCACCGGATATGGACCGTACCCAGCGCCTATTGACCCTCTCGCAACATCTCTGATGATCCCTGGTCGTCTTTGTTGATTTCTGGGCGGACTTGCTGGTGGCGAGGAGGTCGGAGCAGTCGAGTAAATGACCCCATCGAAAGAAGGCGGTGGTCGTCTAGGGATTCTCCGCACGGGGGGTGCTCGACGATGCGAGTGGCTTTGCGAAGAAGACATGGGCTCGTGGCAAGCCTTTGACGTAAAAGCCCCGCTTGTGTGCCAGGGTAGCTTTGTGCCGGCGGCGGCGGAGGGTCAATTTTTAGTCTTCAAGGTGTCAGAGTCGCATAAGAAAGTAGGATGCTAATCGTTGGCAATGAACAGCGAGCAGGCAACTGGATGCCTGTAGCTAGGAAAGGTCAATCAGAACGAAAAAGACCGAAATGAAAAGTGTGGCAGACGCACTATGGCCTCATGATAGCAGTTATCACAACGCCGGTTCCCCTTTGGTCATGGTGTTGGTCGAACCTTCCGAGTCGGTGGTAGTGGTGGTTGAGAGAGAGACATTTATTTGATCGACGATGCATTGACGCCATCTTTTGCAGAGCAGGTGAAGCTAAAGGAATGGTACAGGTACAGCACACAAGTAAGTAAATAAAGAGAGGGAAAATAAGTAAGCTATAGATAGAGTAGCTGAGAATAACAACTATCGCAGAACACCACCGACCTCCTCGTCGCTGACATCCTCAAACTCATCCTGAGCTGTTGCTTCAGTCAGAGTCATCGAACGGTGTCTGACCAAGCCATGCTCCCGCCCATTTTCGCTCCTCTCGTGTGGCGCTAGATACGCGTTGAGACACGGTGCAGCCTTGAGCGACTCGATATCCACGCGAATGATGTCTTGACAGAACATATCGAGGTCCAGGTCGTTCTCGTCGTAGCCAAACGGCTGCTCGATTTCCTCTCCGGCAGCTACAAACCCGAGGTAGATGAACGCGCCAATTGAGACTGCGGGGACCGTGTGCCAGCCGAAGTCGTTCATAAGCTGGAAGGGGAGCAGGAAAAGGTAAAGCCAGACAGTGTGGCGAATGTGGACAGAGAAGACGAATGGTAGGGGCGTGGTGAGGATGTGCTCCAATGCTGGCAAACACATAAGCTAAAGATTAGACAGAAAAAACGGAGACATACTGGCAAGAGAGCCTTCAAAGGCAGCAATACCGCCGAGAATACCACCTAATCCACTTCCAACAGTACCACGGTCTTCCAAGACGCTGCACCACTCGCTCAGACAGCGTAAAACTTCTTCCGGCAAGTTCTCTCCCGTCTCGGGTTTGCGTTTCATCAGTTTGACGTCTGGATGAATTGGACCGGCCCATTTGCGAGGAGGAGGGCCACCGTGATATTGTGGCTGTTTTCAGGTATGTCAAACGGCTGGGCGTAAAATGTAGACACGTACGATAATGGGTTCAGTCTTCTTGCCAAACTTTTCGTGGAACCACCGACGGACGGAGGAGAAAACGCCCGCGAAAGGAATAAGGTCAGCAGCGATCTCTCGTTGCTCATTCATTGGGTTAGCCCCGGGCAGGAGAGGTTGGTCGTGATGAGACCGGAGCGAGTCCGTAGATCTGGCATGATGAAGCGTCTGCTTCAGCGAGGTTCGCGAGCCATTGCGCGAAGGGTCGAAAGTGCCATAAACACTGGAGCTGGGGAGTAAAGCTGGCGGGCCTGAAGAGGTTGGCGGTGGCGGTGGCGTTTTCGCTTGAGGAAGATGTGAAGAAGAGGTCATTGCTCCGTTGCGACGAGGAAGAATAGATGCGGCATTTTCGGCCATGAATCTTTGCTGTTGCTTGACACTGTGTGCGTGCTTGTAGAATCAGTTAGTAAGGGCCAGGGTTGGATATGATACCCACATCATGGAGAGGTCGGACAAGATGGTAAAGGTCGTCATAGTATATCCCAAGCTCGCCACGAATGTGGTGCTTTAAAGCAACAGCGAACCTGGTGCATATTAAACAGAGATCAACACGATGAAATGGCTGGAAATACCCAAGAACAAGGTCAAGAGCCATCCTTTTCTCCGCCATTGCCTTGTTAAGCTCTTGTGCAGATCGAATAACCTTGCCGCTCGCTGTTTCCTCCGCAGTCTTAGGGGTCAGACGAGGCGGGACGTGGTACCAAATGACACGGCCCAAAGCTCGAGCGTTTTTAATGACATCCGACCAAGCGGCACGGCCAGCCCAATAGCGGTCGTATCTAAAATGCCGCATCAGCCACACCCAACAATTGGAGACAAAACTCACCCGCTCATGGCGCGATAAGAAATAACAAAGCCGATTACCACACCGAGGACAGTGAGCATCACATTGGGGACCTGGATCGTTTCGTCGGTGTATTCGTAGAGGTAGACCACGACAGCTGCGAAGACGGTGTGAAAGAGAACAGCAGGCCAAATTCTCCAAATCTGACCACGATAGTGAGAATGAGAATGTAAATATATCGTAGCACGTACAACGGAGCCACGGCCAAACGTCCAAGCGACAAAGGTGGCGGTTGGAATTTCAGGAATGAGCTTGACTGGTACAGCAGGTTTTACAGCAGGAAGGAGTGTGAAGCCTCGGTTGGAGGTCATTTTGAAGAAGAAGCGGGAGGATGAAGCGAATGAACGTGGGGAGTGGGAGCAGGGTAAGAGACGATACACTTCGATGGCGCTTGCATTTTGAACGTTGGAGCGGCCTTTGAGAAAGAGCGATTTGATGGACGCGCACTGTCAGCGCGCCGATCAACTGTGCCATATTTTTCAGTAGTTCCCCGCTTCCTCCCGATCCCTCGATTGACCGTGGAAAATTATGTCTCTTCTTCCCAAAGCCTCAGACGACGCAAGTATGTCGAATCTAGGCAGCCTGTGGTGTTATCCCCCAACCGTTTGTACCAGAAAGATTCCTCATCAGGCAGCCTGAGCGCCCGAGTTCATCGATATATCAAACAATGACACGACGTATTACTCGCAGGGCAGGCCACAGCTGATGCTAGTCACTCGTTGAGCATTATTTTCACCGGAAACCGGTCGCTAGTCCTAAATAAAGAGGCATAGCGATGTCAATTATTGCCGGTTTCGCATCGCCGCATAGGTCAACTCGGGAGGCAGGATCGACGAGTCGCAACATAGGCTAATGCCAGTGTTAAAAACCCCCCAGCCAGTCTGATGAGAACGAGAAGCAGCGCCGGGTGTCCTAAATCTGCTCGACTGCCAATAAGCGTTTGCGAAGCTATTTTCGGGAAGCAAATCTATCAGTCGCATCTTTAGAGCGCTCGTCGTCAGGGACAGTCAGGATGGTCGGCATTTAGACCTACCTACCAAGACCAACCACTTTCGCATTGACCCCCTCATTCACCTTTGCGAAAACTTTGAACAATTGCATACCAAGGCTCCCTGGGGTGAACTACTTTTTTACCCAAATCATACGTCGGCCCATGCGCTGCGACTAAGTGCTATCTTTACACCTCTCTTCCGTAACACCGTTACTGTCTCTGGTGGGACGATGTCCGTCAAGAACTTGGAGGAAGCCATAGCAGACGCATTCTCGATAATTATTTGCCGCAAACGCCTCTGACGGTGCTGGGTGAGCCGCAGAAGGATATTGCCGTCGAACGGGGAGTGGACAAGCAGCCGCAATAGACCCAGCTCCGGAAGTAGCTCGGGATTGTCCGCCAGTCGGTTGAGGATCTTGCTGTGGACCTGAATAGGAACGTGGGCCAGAGCCACATGTGGTGCATGAGCTGCAAGTGGGAATGGCCGACGTCCATCTGGCAGAAAGAGCTCGAGATTGGAAACCGAGGAAACTGCCGGCATCTTCAAGAGCCGTTCAAAAGCGGGCAGCGACGAAGCACTCGTGAATGCAATGCCAAGATGGGTGAGATGCAGTTCATGCTCGGAGCGTTCCAGGAATTGAGTAATTTGTTCCGCGTGATCGCAAAAAGGCCGGTCATCTGTAAAGATAGCCCACTGGCGAGCCCACGGTTTACGAATCACCAGTTTTTTCAAGTGGGGCATTGCAGAAATCTGAAGAAGGCGACGGACTACTTCTGGAGAGCATTTGACGATATAGAGAGAGGAGACACGCAACAGCAACGAAGTGAACGGGGAGTCACCGTTGCGGCATCGGCGCAGTGTCAGGCGACAGAATGGAGCAAGCATAGGCAGCACGTCTGTGGAGAGCAATTTTTTCAACGGCCAATTGACAAATATGCAACTGCGGAGCTGGGCCCAGGGTATTCCCATCTGGCGATTAACCGTCAGGCTTGAGTGGAAGCCCAGCTCAAGCTCCGTCAAGCTAACGAGAGAGGCAAAAAACCGGGCGGATTTGTGAGTGATTCTTTGGCGACCAGACACGCTGAGGCACAGGGATGTAACTGAGGAAAAGGACATTCCTCGTGTGGCAATATAGCCCAAATGGTTGGGCGTGATTTTGAGGTCCACTTCCTTCCAACGGGACGCATTTTCCAGGAGGAGGAGGTCGAAAAGTTTGTGGACCATGGCAACACCATCCAACGGCCTTTCGGAAGCGTTTATGTGTATTTTGAGGGGGGCAGTGGTCGAGCGCTCGATATTAAGCGCAGCCCGGCGAAACTGTTTCGGGATGAAGAGGTCACCAAGTGCGCCAGGTAGGAGAGAAACATTGACGCGACACCATAGAAGTGGTGTGTTGACCGCAACATTCCGCCATTGGCGACAGACCGCCCCAATTTTCCCCAGTATGGCCAAATCCTTCTCCCCATGTCCATCCACCGGCAACGCGTGACGAAATATTTCCCCCAGAACGTCCGGTGGCACACGGCGGAACGAAGAGACTACTGCTCCATGGACACGGGCAAACTCTTCGAGCTCTTGTCGGCGTTGCTTGTATTGATCGACCACCACCTTCAAACGAGTCAATTCTGCGTCAATAGCGTGCATGCTGTCCTCCGCGCTTCGAATCGATGTAAGAATCGCGGCAAATTGTCGCTCTGGTGGTGCAACATTATTGTCGAGGAACTCTATGCATGGCGTTGGCGGAATAGTTGGTAGAGGGTAGAGAGTTAAAAATGTAGGCTGAGGGAGAGGGGGCGTCGTCATTGTTTTTGTTGACGCGAATGTAAGTTCCTTGGGGCGGTTATGGAAGACGGTAAGGGGAGAAAAATTGTCTTGGGTCCACTGAGTCACGTAATGCTGCGATTCCCGCTCTCCCTCGCTCTCCTTCGCGTCAGGCTGGTTCTACATATAACAGATACAACGCTAGAGACTTTGTCCATACATGCATATAGGTGTCTAAGTATCTATCAGTGTCCGTGAACTCGTTCTTTTTTTTGTCGTAAAAGAAAGGGTATATGGCCTCACTCTCCGTGTCCCTGACCTCTTGGTTCCGGCCTAACCCGCCGCTTGAACTCGATCGGTGCATCGCCCTCTTCATCGTCGCTGCTGGTTTCGCCATACAAATTGACTGGCTCCCGTTGATCCTCGCCGTAGTCTGAATCTTCAGGCCCACTGATATGCCTCTCCTCCAGCTCGTCGTCTTCCGAGCCAAAGTCGTCCATAAGCTGCTTGGCCATCACGATCAGCCCGATGCCCACGCCCATCCCGATGATCGTCCCGTCCCTCAACGTTTCTTCTTCCTCCTCACCAGCCGCAAATTGATCAAGATATTGCGCATAGCGTTGTCGAGACAGATCGATTTCTCGTGACCGCGTGTCGATTTGGCTCTTGGTTCGATCCTTCAGTCCGGCAAGTCGTGGCTTTCCTGTAACATTGACTGGCCCTGTAGGAGAACCAAGCACGACTCCGCCAGAAGCATTAGCGCGGGTATTGCTCAACGCTTCAACACTATGTCTCGCAACTCTGGCCGGCTTCCTCGATTTGTTGGCGAGTGCTTGAGGGTTCTCGACATCTTCTCTAGCCTTCCCTTTACCGCTGGACTTGCTTGATCGACGCCTGAGACTGCGGTCCTTTTCAGGATTGCTGATGAATCCACGTGGTCGGCCACGGCCATCGATCGCCTCCTCCTCTTCGACTGCCTTGAGCGGTTTGAAAAGGTTCGTGACTCGTCGAGGGAGATGAAAGAACACCGGCCATTTGAATTTGGTTTCTGATATGGCGTTGGCCTCGTCACGCTTCGAAACGGATATCTTTTTCGCCCGACGAGAACCAGACGCAATCGGAGGTGGGGAAGGAGGCCTGGGGTCGGAAACAAGTGGAGGGTGGAATAAGGGGGTCGTTACTTGCGTCCAGTCTGCGGGTTTCTCGATGTCTGCGAAAAGCCAGCCGTAAGTCATCATGCCCTAAAGCCATTAACAACAAACTCGAAGAAAGATGAGGACCGCATACCCTGAGCGCCTCGTCGTCGAAACGTTCTTCGGGGCTTTTGGTCAATAGCCCATTCAAAAGAAACAAAACACCGCCGTTGCCATAATCTTCCCGGGCTATTGGAAGAGCCTGAGACGACATATTGGCGAGCGGTGTCCATGAGTCTTCGCAAATGCTGCGGTATAGCGAGTTCTGCGCGGCAACTGGACCAGAATCGGTGATCTGTGCTCGGAAGGGTAAAGCGCCAAAGAGCATGGCGTAGAGAGTTACGCCCAGTGCCCAAAGGTCGACAGCAAACGTCACTTCTGTGGACCCGCCACCACCAGGAGCAATCTCGGGTGCAAGAAAGGAGGGAGTGCCAGCATGTCGTGGTACATCCCCATCCATAGTCTCCGCTTCAACGAGGGCGGCGATGCCAAAGTCGCCAATTTTTACGCGAGAGCGGTCACTGTTCCACATGATGTTTGAAGGCTTGATATCTCGGTGAATGATTCCTTGCATATGGAGGTATTCGATTCCAAGGACAACGTCGCGCATAACTCGTCTGATTTGGCCCATAGTTAAGCACGGTTGATCGGCCTGAGTTCGCCATTGAAGCTCGCCACCTTGCATGTACTCCATGACTGAGAAGAGTATGTAAACATGGCTCGCTTGGTAAGACAGCAACGCACGAATATAGACAGAGTCATTGCAAGGATCGTCGATGAAGTCTTGAATTTTGACAATGTTGGGATGGTCGCACTTCTTCATGATTGCGACCTCTTTCTGCACTTTGACTTCTTCTGTGCCTCGACGAACAACAAGGGGTGAGGGGCCGGAGGTAGTACGGGGTAAGGCTGAACGGGCAGGGTTTCTGTCTCGCAATCGCTGGAGATTCTCTGTTCGTTTGTTGTTTCGGGGCACTTGTTTCAACTAGAGGGATATTGAGCAACACAATGAGCCAGGTGAGCAGAATAGACGCACCGCATATGGTGTCTTATCCGTGTTGCGCTCAGCCAGATAGACAAACGAGTTATGACCTCTCGCAATAAGCTTCCGTGTTATAAGAAACGCCCCACGAGATCGAGAGTATATTTTGGAGGGAGCGGCGGGCGCGCTATCCATCGTGGTGGTTTGGGACGCAGACCCATTCAGGCGGTGGCCGCCGAACAGTCGAAAGCGAGAGGGAAATGGGCGGAAGGAGAGAAGGGGTAACACTTTTGTGACGTGCCTTTTTTATACCGTTTTGCCCCCGACTCTCATCATGTATTCGTTGAGCTCCGCCCCCAGCAATGCCTGCTTCGCCGTCAAGTGCAGCAATTGTGGAAAGACCACCTGGAAGGTCAGTAGCGTCCACGGCTAAGCCCGAGTCCCAATGGCCCTGATCTGATTCCACTGCCAGGGATGTGGACAACACGTCGAATCGGTTAGCACCCACACTAAGCCTAACAGAGCTCATCTTTTCTCATCGCAAACTTGTCCACAGGTGATGAAGGACGTCAAGGACGAAGACAAGTGTACCTGCCCTCGCGAGTAAAAGGAAACAAACAACTGTATCGTGTAAATCGGGCTCAGAAAATGAAGCTATCTCGATTTTGATGACCTCACTCCACCTCACCTTCTCCTCGAGTCATTACAATGGGAGGACACAATATCGGCGTGGGAGGCTTCGCTTGTGTCGTCGCGTATCACACAAAGCGTTTTTCGTAAGCGGTTGGAAAAGGAACGTTACGATAAATGGCAAGTCGTTTACCTTCGCTTTCAAAGAAGGCGTTCAAGAGGGGTAAGTGCAGTCCACGAACCTGAGAGACACATAACCATCGTCGCGTCCCCTTCGAATTCGATCCTTCTTGATGCACAACGGATGTCGACGATCATCTCCGCGGACTCTATCACTCCCAAGCTCTTTTTCTGGCGGTGATGAAGCCGTTAATTCTGCGCTAGGTTCACTCTCGCTTTCGTCAGAGGCGATATGGAGTACATCCAAACTCTGAGTTTAATCGACAACCGGCGATGTGCAACTCCTTCTACCGCGACCCGTTGCCTACCAGCATTCATCTTGGGCTCCCTCACGGCGGCGGCGGAGTAACTATGGCTTCTATGACTTCGCAACAGCCTGCGGACATAACTTCCGTTCCGCCGCTAGTGCTCGTTCGCTATGGACCCATTGTTCCTCATGACGAGGGGTCTCCATATTCCCAGCTCCGCCGCTTTCTTACGACTGTGCTGATCACTCACTGGTAGCGCAAACACCATGCGTCACTCACAACTCTGACTGACAGTTTGCGCATCCGGTCTTCGGGCAGTACTGCCTTTTGGATCTGGACGCACACATAACATACTGTAACAGTACTAGTGGGAAAGAAGATGTCTTTGTTTTCGTACGTGTTTGGCCGGGGCGAGCGAATGGGAGCATTTGATCATACTCTTCAGGTGTCCACACATTCTTTGCAGCGCTGAATACAGCCTAATTTACGGACTTCAAAGAGGCACCTTATGCTCAGAACTATCGTTCCCTCCGTTCGGGTCAGTAACTGCCAACATCAACGCGACCCACTTATATGTAAGTATCCGGAATTCTCCGCTGTCAAAAAGTGATATCGCCCTTCTCATTGCTAGGCGGCAAGGAATGGGCTTGTTGTTAGTAAGTCCATCCTCCCCGGCGGGCAATGAGCACCATATTGACGTTTCAAAGGGCCTGAACCACCTGCAGTCCGTTATGGCCGGCATTGCTCAACGATTCACAGAAGCCTGAGTCCCCTGCCTTGCGCATGTCGAATGCACGATCTGGGTGGGCTTCTACTTCAAAAATACTTTTTAGAATCAATTCTGGAAGCTTTAATATCTCTAAATTCGGCCTTCTCTCAGTCTATTGGCTGGAGATTACCAGCATATTTTCCTCGAGATCTATCTCAGCTCCCGAGCAAGTCAAGTCCTTTTCTTGTCAATGCTCCCAGTGACTGGCTCCGATGGCTCCTTTTCCAGTACCTTCCCGCCTCGCTTGTGATGACCCTCTGAATGCCATTCCGGTTCGATTTCTTTCCGAGCAAGACATGGCAGAAGGTTCCTGGCAATCCTCCCAATCCCACGAGACACCGTTTGCTGGCAGATGTCTTTTTGTCGCCACAGGTGGCAGTCAACGCGACCGTTGCCGCCAACGCAAGACGTGCCCATCTCGGGTCATCGCAATGTCCCAACACTCGGGCGGCGTGGAGGCGGTACGCATGCCACGAACCGACATTCCTCTCCGACAGCTTTCGCTGTTCTGAGAAGCAAGGACAGAAATTCACAAGACTCTGGTAAAAAAAAATCTCGACGTTTTCTGATTGGACAGGGTTTAGGATTTCAGGCCACAGGTTTAGCGCGCCACGATCAGTGTAGTCCCGAGCTCGGGTCCTCCGCGTCGGCGCTTGAACCAAACAATCGTGCCAGACAAGTTGCTCCAACCCTGATCTGATGCGGTCAGCACCCCGTTTCACCCGCGAATGTTGGCGCCCATGCCTGCCAGCATACGCCCTCGACAGAAGCAATAACTTGAAGCGGTGTAGCCAAGTTGCCGCGATCCGTTGTTCAGTACACAATCTAACCCCGATTATTCCCAGTCGGTCTGACAAGAACCACGTTGGTCTGCTGGACGAGACAGCTGTCTCCCACCCGCGGCGTCTGTCAAAGAGCGTTTTCGCCGTGTTTGATGAACCTTGATTCTCGTAAAGTTCTCAATCAAGACCCGCCGGACATGCGGCGCATCAATTTTATTGAAAACAGCCGCTTTTTCCATTCAGGGATCTGGTATATGGGCGAGAAGATGCGTGTCCAACACCGTGTGGCGCTGTCGAATGGGATCCTGGCAAACAATCGGTGAACTTGTTGCGCCATTTTTGCTGGATTCAAACATAGGGGCCAGCACGCTGGTAGAACAAATGGCTTGAAGAAGGACGATACAGCATCGATTAAGAGGATGTTGACTAGTTTGTGATTGCCAAAGCCGACTATTGAGCGGCAGCGTCCCGCACAGCCTGAGCCAGCCGCTTCATTGCTTCATCAACTTCCTCTGGCCCAAGCAAGCTAAATGCCGCCCTCACATAGCCGGTCTTCCGCCCATCCGGTAAGAAAACGGTCCCAGGCAGTGCTAATACTCCTCGTTCAAACGCCTTTGTTCTCACAAGCGCTGCTGAATCGCCATCTCCATCGGCTGCGATCAGCCTGAACCAGAAAAAGAGTCCGGCCTGAGGGGTGCTCCATTCAGCCAGTCCGTCCTTCCCAAGATGCCGTTGCAGCGCTTCTTCGAATACATCACGCTTCGCTTTGTAAAGCGAGGCAACACTGTCGACGTGTCGTAAAAACCCCGAATGGCCCCAAGTTGGGGAGTTCATGAGAGCAGCAGCGACGGCCTGGGTGAGACCGGCTGGTTGGAGATTAGCTGTTGCGGTGTGGGCATCGATGGCTCGAATGATCGGGGAGGGACCCGAGACCACGCCAATTCGAAGTCCCGCAGACAGTACTTTGGAAAGCGAGTCCAATCTGAGGACACGGCCAACAGCTTGGCCATCACACGAAGGGTCAGAGCGCTCCATTGCGAAGTAAGAGGGTGGACGGGAAGCAGAGGGGCCAAAGTAGAGGTAATAATATGGGTCATCTGAAGAATATCAACATCAGTTCGCGTGCAACTGCCACAAGTACCTTCGATAATGAGCAGGTTATGGTCGCGGGCGAGTGCCAAAACCTCCTGACGACGTTGGATGGAAGCAGTAGCCCCGGTCGGATTACCCCCATACTGAAGGTTGGTCAGACTAATCAACTGTTGCTGTGTTCCCTCACCGGAATCGTGTACAAGATCTTCGGTTTGGGGCTCGAGGTGGGCCACTGCTCGAGAATAGAACGTAGAGCATCGCTAGAGATGCCATCGGCATCCGCTTCCACCTCTATAACTGTTTCAACATGCGTCAAGTACATTAACGGGAAGAGCGCACCGATTTGTTTGCATTGGAGACTGTGGAATAAAGGAATGACACCACTGGCGGTGTCAGCCATTTGCACATAGTCAACAACCCAAGCTCACGCATAGACAGGCGATTGAACGAGGACCGGGTCCCCTGGGTTAAGCAACGCCACGATGGCCTACTAAAGCATGGGCTTTTCCATTCGAAAACCTGCGATACACGGACCTTGGACACCAGATCTTGCGAGCCATTTCCAATACTCAACGACCATCCCTCTCCGCGCTCTCGCCCGTGCACAACAGACTGGAGTTGATAAAACCAGTCTACGAGTGCGGGAAAGCCGTTGGTGGGTCCATATTGCAATGCTGCGGCAAGATCCGCATTAGAAAGGGATACAGCAATGTCTTCTTCAGTTCGTGGGACTCCCGAGGGGTCCCCTGGTGGTGCACGGGCGGTAAAGCTGAACGAAGTAAACGGAAACGAGGCTGGGTTTGGTTTCCCAGCCAAGAGCGATATCATTCCCGGAGTGGCTTCGAGAGGGAAGAGGCTTCGGACTAGCGCAGTTCAAACAGTATCGAAGAGAGGTGCACTCAATATACATACTAGGTGATGGCAAACGCGATTTTGCGACATCAGACAAAAAGTTGGTGTAGACGCTCTCAGGAAGGGATTCCACTAGATTCTGCAATTGCGTCGGTATGAGAAGAGAGATAACAGGACTCTTGCTATACCGAGGCCATAGTTGAGCGCGAAGGAGAAACAGTTGGTCATGGTACCGAAGCAATCGATGGTGTGTTTCGGCCGATGGAAACACGTGCTTTTATGTGACTAAGCGGCTTGTGGGATTGCGTGTATCTTCCGCTTGACTGAGACTTTGACTGCGCACGGCCGCTAAGACGCGTTGCTTTCAGGAGAGCAGTACAAAATGGCGGCCCCTTACTTCAAGAAGCTTCACCCGTCCCATCTGAATCACCAGCTGTAATTGTACAGACAAAACCATGCACTCAAAAGCAACCAAGTTCGAATCCATGCGCGATGTCCCAGATATGACGGACAAAGTAAGTACCAAATCCTCGGTTGGCGATATCTTCTCATGCAGGTCTTGAAAAGATTGCCTTGGTCACAGGGGGGAACTCTGGCATTGGCTACGAAACCGTCAAGGTTCTGTTCGCGAAAGGCGCAACCGTGTACCTCGCTGCCCGGTCACCCAGCAAGGGTAAAGAAGCCATTGCTCAGCTTGAGGGCGAGGTTACCGGTCAGGGGAAGGGAAAACTTGTCTTCCTCGAACTGGATTTGTCGGATCTACGCAGTGTTCGCAAGGCATCTGAAGAGTTTCTGAGCAAGGAAAAACGACTAGACTTGCTTTTTAACAATGCGTACGTGTTCTTTGCATCCTAGAGCTCTCCACTCAAACATATCAGCGGAGTTATGATACCACCAACTGAGCAGCTGACTGCTCAAGGCTACGATTTGCGTGCGTTGTCTTTTGTCTCTGTCTTTTTGTTCTCAGAATTCATAGAATTTGGCACAAACACCCTTGGCCACTACTTCTTCACAGAACTCCTTGTGCGTCGTCCTTCTTTTATCATTGTAAAAACTTATGCCATCATCCTATGTAGCTCCCCGCTCTCACTGCCTCGCATGCTCATACTTCCCAACCTGCTCGTGTGATTCACACAACCTCCGATGCCCACACCGGTGCCGCCAAACGAGAGGTTCTTTTCGATTCGCTCAAAGACGGTCCGAAACGAAATGCGTTGATCAAAAAGTGGGGACGGCTCAAAGCGCCTTGGTGGGTTTTCTTCGCACAACCGATCCGAGACTAATCTCCACTGTAGGACGTTGTACGGGTCTAGTAAACTTGGCAACATCGTTGTTTCGAACCATTACTCCTCGACCCAACCACCCGACGTTCTTGTTTCGTGCTCTCTCCATCCCGGACTGATTCAAACGGGTCTTCAGCGGTATAAGCTCGCATGCAGTCCCCGCAACGAACTAACACTTATCCAGCAACGGTCCCGGTATCATGAAATTCATCACGGGACTTGCCTTCTCGCCGGCGCCAGTCGGTGCCTACACGCAACTTTGGGCGGGGACATTCGCAGCACCCGAGGCTGTCAATGGGAAATACTTCGTCCCTGTTGGCGTTGAGACTGCTCCGAAGGGTAGAACGGACGATAAGGAGCTTGCGTCAGAGATATCCGAGTGGTTGAAAGAGGCGGTTAAGGGGTTTTGAACGCGTCCGGCGCTACACAGCCTGTAGACTATTCTTAGAATTCAATCCTTTTTTTTGATCAGTCACACAGCCACACGTACTTTTGTCGCCGACTGTCAAAAACGTTGGTCGAAATAGACGCCAACGATGGGAAGGAGCCTTGTGGAGGACCACCATGTTGTGTTGCCCATTTGCCTCACTATTCAGCGTCTCATCATTGCCCACAGGCTCTCTTGGTGGGTTCCTGAGCCCACCACCCGTGGAACGTATGCTATCATTTCAAGCTGCGCTTTGACGCTCTTCCTCTGTGTTTGGACCGCAATCCATGTCAACATCCCTGAGCATGCCGCCCGTAAGCGCCATTTGCTGCGGAAAGTCGGCTGGCTCCTGCTCGGGCTGTTTTTCCCCGAGTTGGTGACCTTCATCGCTTGGAATCAGTACCTGCAAGCGAGGAATCTGGTGGCGAGCTTATCGCCTCCAACGCCGAAAACTCCACTATGGAAGAAGGTTAAGGTGGCTTGGAGATGGATTGCTTCGAAACTTAGCCTTGGCTCGTCCGAGTCAAAGGCAGAAAAAACAGACGAGGAAGCGATGCCGATGACTAATATGGTCAGTTTTTGCTGAGCTGCCTTTCCGACCGCTAACTTGGTCCAGAATGATGAGGTTCAGGAGCCAGTGCCGCCATCCAATCAAGAAAGCAAGAAATCGAAGTCATGGTGGAAGAGCATTCGAGGGTTTCCTGTCTCCCTCTGGCGTTTGATATTCGCAGCTCGAGTACGTGGCTCTTTGGCTACATATCTGCACAGTCTTGACAGCTGCAGACCACTAAATCAGCAGATTGGACGCTCGTTCATGGCTTTTACACCGTCATGGGCGGTTTTGCGCTCGATCTTTCTTCCGAATCTACGGTCCATCAGCCTTTTTTCTTCCCGTTAGACAGTGATCGTCTCACCCTGACACCCAATGGATTGCGTTTTCTCCTCGCACACGCGCCGGAGTGTGTTCCCCGCGTCACATCAGAAGACATTCAGGACAAAAGCAAGGCGGATCTGCTTACGAAACTGATATCGCTCATGCAGGCCGCTTGGTTCTGTCTCCAATGTATTGCGCGGGCAGCCCAACACCTCTCAGTCAGCCCTTTAGAAGTTACCACGGGAGGACATGCGCTTTACACGCTGGTGACCTACGTGCTATGGTCCAAGAAACCGAAGGACATTACTCTCCCGAATACCATCAAGGTCGGGGACAATCAGAAACTACGTCAACTATGCGCCTACATGTACACGTGCAGTTATCTGTCCCGCTTGTCTCTGTCAATCATGGCTGGGGACAGACTACGGGATTTCAGTGCTTTTGGCCTTGAGGAGCCGGTTCTCAGTGTTGAATGCAACATTATCAGCATTCAGACGAAGACTCCCGAATTGCCGCCAGTGGCGGAGGGCTCGTCTGCTGCTGTCGGTGCACCACAAGCAGTTGAGGACACACCGTCTGCCTTCGGCGATGATGCCACAGTCGCGATTACACTCTCCAAGGGCGAGTATTTCCCCAATACAAGTCTCCAATTCCAGTTTGTCAACCCGATCACCTTTCGCGACCAGTGGAATCGTACCCGGCAAGCAACCGTCAGTTTCCCTTCTCACGCACAAATAACGCTTGAGCCTGCTGATCAACGACGATGGCAGCTGGTATGGGAAGCACTATTGTCGAACCCCTCCTTGGACCTTGTGCCATGCGACTATGTCGTTGAACGCGCGCCGAATGTTCCGACTTTCTTTCCAGAAGACGCCTCGCTCCAAATGATTCTTGGTTTTGTCGTCGCAGAAGCGCTATACGCTCTCATTCATGCCTCCGCGTGGAACACGGTATTCAGCCCGGCAGCAGGCCAGGCAATGTGGAGAGGGGCAGCTTGTGTGATGGGTGGAATAAGTCTCTTGCTCGTGGCGGCGCTTGGAGTTGCATGGGCGTCCGACCACAGCGACTGGCGCAATGTTCTCTTTGGTCGGCGCAATGCTCTCTTTGGTGGAATTGGACTTGTTACTCCCCTGATTTTGGTGGACATCATTGTTCGCATACTCTTGCTGGGCTTGGCCTTGGTAAACATTGTAGCAGTCCCCCCAGATGGTTATAAGTTACCTGCTTGGACACAGTACATTCCCCATGTTTAGCTACTGATCCTCATGCGTCTCAATCCAAACTCCTTCCTCCATCATGGTTACTTGTTCTTTCTTCATATCTGTTTTTGCAGTTTCTGCACAGCGACCACGCTTGTGGCATATCGGCCGGCCATAGTCGTTGATGATTGGGTAAAACGACTCCAAGTTTGCGATAGGGGCATGCAGCCAGGTGGTCGCTTTCTCGTTGCAAACAAAACACTTCCAGTCCGATGTCGACATGAGTTCGGGCTCGTGAGCTGTGACGATTTTGCGAACGAACGCGCCTAGCTTGGCGTCAAACGAGTCTTTTTCTTCTTCGCTTCTTGGCCCTCGCATAAGGCTGATTGGGACCATATCCCGCATTGAAACGTATTCTTCGTCATCATACTCCCGACGGACGGCGTATTCAAAGGGGCGATGTTCCTCGCGGACAGTTTTGTCAACGAATTTGGCTGCCAGAGCGCTGCTCTCCTGCATTTGCTGTCTTCGTCGTTCCTAACCGAGTAAGTTAGTCGAGACCAAAGCATGAGAATACCACACACATCCACATCGTACTTCGGTCGTCCCGGGTAGGTGGGATCTGCAGCCTTGCGCAGCGCGTCGATGTCGTTTAACCCCTTTGTTGCCAGTTTTCGCCTGAGTTTCGCTTTCTCTGTCACACTCTCCGAGCCCAAAAACAAGACAACGATGTTGCAGTCGTCCACACATCCCTGGTACGCTTCTGCCGCGGCCGCATTCAGCCTCCTCGCCTCATCTTTCGTTGTAGCAGTTGCATTGCTGTCAAATCGCTGGTCGCCCAGATTCAGAAAACACGCTGCCCGGTTGCAGCGTATTGTTCGGATGGTGTCAATCATAACGCGGTCGTCGTAGGTATTGATGATGTCTGTGTAGGCCGCAAGCGCCCCGTCAAAGTCCCGGGCCCTGAATAGAGCATTCGCCTCGTCCTTGAGCTCATTGGCTCGCGCTTGAAGACGGTGAAGTTATTGGAGATGGTGGGAGGGAATGCGGACCGTTATCTTGGAAGAACGTAGGTCCACCGAAAGCTTGTCCTTGATCGGCTCCGCGTTGGAAGTCGTCCAGCAACGAAGCTGGTGTGGGCATGCTTTGGTCATTGCCCATAGTGATGGTGAAAAAAGAAGGTTTTGATGCCAGTGATGCCCGATCACGTCAAGAGGAAAACAGGAAAGTTTCTTCAATAGTACAATTATTCCTACAGACCAGCACTAACCCCTCCAAAATGCGTATCGTAATATTTCTGGGTCGTTGAAATCGTGTCATATTCCACCAAATACGCCTGGAAGTCTGAGCCTGGGAGAGGGCGGTCAGTGAGAGAGACGATCAGCAAGTGCTCATGCATACGTCTCATGAACTTGGCGCGGTTTTCCGGGTCTGTCTGGGCAACCGACTGTACGTTGACGAATTCGCCACGGTCCTTGCGGAGCGCTTGGAATGCCTCCAGTCGCGCAGGAACTTGGTCTGGCGTCGTTCCGGCCGCGAGAAGGATGCCAAGACAGGCCGCTTCCTCGATGGCCATTCCAGCGCCTTGAGCGAGAAGCGGGAGAGTTGCGTGGGCGGCATCACCCATGATGACCGTGCGGCCTCTTATCCAGGTGGGCAGCATTGGCATGGCGCGGAGCTGCCATTTAATGACAGGGGTGACGAGGGGAAGGTCGAAGAGGCGGGTAAACTGGGGATGGAACTTTGGGTACTTCTCCAGGAAAGCCTCTTTGGTCACGATTTCAGAGGTTGCTAGGAAATAAGTGAGCCAACTGTTCTCCAGGAAAGTCGGACGACAAACGTTTGTGGGTGTGTCGCTCTGAATCGACGTCAAATGCGACCATGTTGATCAGCGTGCTGCCCCGAATATTGTAGACAATATACTCTGACAGCGCAGCGTCTTCCAGTCGGACGCTCATGACGTTCTTGATGCCCTTCACCCACGCGAGCTCAGGGTAGTTGTCCAGCTCGGAGGCATCGAAGATGCAGCGGTAGCAGAACCAACCCGACGGTTCTGCCTGGATGTCCTGACCGAGAACGCTCGTTCGGACGATTGACTTGGATTTTTATGAGAATAGGCGCAGATAGCAAGAGGTGAACACGCACATGCACCCCATCAGCACCAATAACAAGGTCGCCAGCCACTGTTTCGCCAGTGCCAAGTGTGATAGCACCAGCTTCGGCATCACAACCGACGATTCTGCTGCCCAGGTGTAATTCAACAGGTGGGTCTGTAGAATTCAAGTTATCCTCGGTAGCCAGTCGACGCAGTTCATTGTGAAGGTCGCTGCGATGGCAAGAAAGCCCCTTCCAATCAGGGTCAGCATTGTTCGACACAAGTTTTATGACCCACGTTTATGCCCTCCTGCTTGAAGGTCTCGAGATTCAGCGTGGGATACTCGTTCGATTCAGCCGTCTCTGCGTTAAAAATCTTGATCTATGCGACATCAGCATCGAAAGGACCCAGAAAAAGTGCTCCATACCCCATCGAAAACGCCGCCCTTGAGGTTTTCTCGCTCATAGCCGAGCGATTTGAGGACCCGCACGGAGTTGACTTGTAGTGCCACACCGGCACCGATTTCGGTCTTGATTCGCGACGACTCGTAGACCTGGAGTGGTCAGAGCTGCTTCTCCGGCGGTGCGAAAGGAGCAATACCTTCACGTGGTGGCCCGCTCTGCGTAGCGCGACTGCAGTGGTGAGGCCGCCAATACCAGCACCAACGATGATGACATTTAAAGGTTGTGCGGAGTTCAGACTGGCCATCGTGTATTTGCTGGAGCCTGGAGGAAGTTTGAAGAGTTGGAGGATGAGGATGTTGTTTCGTTGGGTGGTACGCCTTTATACCGACACGAAAGACTGGCTTTGGCAAGAGAATTCGCTCTTGTCAACCACATTCCAGCGAGAAAGCAGCGGGAAGAGGACTGCAGGGCTCGTATTGACGGTAAAACGGCGCTGTTCAAACCGGCGCGGTCGTGAGATAAGTCGAGGAACAGCCCGTTGGAATCGACTCAATGGCTTTTAACGCGCGATGGACGCGCAGAAGCTGCAAACGCATCAGTGGAGGGCCAGGTCAGGACTATTTTTGAACGCCGAGACATCTGTTAAAACTTAAAACCTCCTACGGGAGACAGACGAATGACGGTGCCGATTTGACCGTAAGTATATTGTCCCCTTCTCACGTTTTCCGATTTCGGAACGCGCGTGAGACCGTAGGAGAATCGTTCTTTTAAGAATCGTTCTGGTGGCTGCTGGCAGAAAATGTTGAGTCAGCATAGGACGTCACAGGTGTCACACATGTCAAAATGCTAATAATAGTTCAATGCGAATTTTGTTACTTTGGTTGGTTCGGAGAAGGAAACTTGTGCGTGTGAGTAAGTATCGTACTTATGGTTCTATCAATGCGATAAGTATTTGCTTGTCTGAGCCATGCTAATGTGGATTGCGTGCGGAGAGTAACAGAGTTGACTGGTCGCCCTTTTGCGAGCGATCAAGAAGAGGGATCGTGCCTCATATAGAGAGTTATTGGTGGAGAGTGAGCAGCAAGCTCAAGTAGGATAGTAGTTGTGGTCTTGAATCGACGGATGCAACAAGATGCAGGAAACCGATAACACAAGGGCTGTCGAGCGGTCTATTCGCATCAATGAGAAAGAAAGCAGAAAAAAGTATAGTGATTACCTGCAAAAATGGCGCGAAGGTGGAAGCATATCAAGCGCGGTACAAGCTCTAGCACACGGACCACTCCTGCCGACTACAAGTCCGACAAAGCAGAGCTCGATGGGGAGACCGAAACCGAGCGACAAGTGTCGCTAGCGGTAGATGGTGTGAGGGCTGGAAGGGAGTCGAGGTCAAAATCGGAGACATCAGCCGGTCCGGTACCCAGAGAAAAAGGTCGTTGATTCCGCAAAGACGCTTTCCGATTCGCGCAAGCGGTTCGACGCTGCACTCTCTTTCCAGACGACCCAAATCTTGACCCAGGGCCAACCGTCGCAACTTTTGCTGCTGCCTCAGCACGCATCAACATCAGTTGATCGTCCATCGGAAGACATTCGTTGTCCTCCCCACTGCATTTACCCTTTGAGAGATGATACCGGAGACCATTGGGGTTGAGATAGGCTTTGTTGCAAAGGGGGATTGGGCAGACGAACGTTTTTTCTTTGCCATTAAGAAAAATGGGCACCTTTTGAACTGGCTGGGAGAGTGACAGTTGTTCTGCGACGGACAAGGGCGACTGGTTGGTGGAAGATGGATGGACAGGTGAGTCGATCAGAACTATGTCTATAGAGTCAGCCGAGAGGGGAGATGGTGCGACATCCATGTCATCTCCGGAAAGTGGGTCGGTGTTTTCGTTTGCGGGGGGGGTGCAGGGTCGATGAGCCACTATATGCTGTTGATTATCGTCCTTTACCGACTTCGTTACGATAATGGGGGATGGCAATGGAGTCACGGGTCTACTCTGGTGCGACAGCCGCCTCCCAATTGTCGAAAGGTAGGCGGAAGTGACAGCAGCTCGAGCATTTGACGCCTCATACCGTTTGACCTGAACTTTTGAGCCATCATATGTTGCTGAAGGCGGGTGCGATGTCAATGGAAAGGTGTTCGGAAAACTGTTTGCACGTCGAAGGTAGGATGGGTAAGGAAAAGAGATTGGATGATGAAACTGTCGTGACAATGGATAGCTGCTGGTCGATGGCGCAGTGATAGCGTCGACGGTAGGAAGCGAAGTTTCGATGGGCTGAATTGCTTCTGGTAGTGCTGGAAAAACGTGATCCCCATCGATGTCAGAGGTGGTCGTGGTCGAATCGGTGAATGATGAAGCTTCAGATTCTATTGGTGACGGCGGAGGAATATGGTCTTCCTGCGTGGAGTCTACGAAGGAGAATGGTCCTGAGCAGAAAAATTGTGGGCCAATGTAGCTCGTTGGCGTCATTCTAGAGTGGGCGTAGAGGGCATGGAGGTCAGGATGTACGACACCACAGCAGTGAAAGTTGGAGCACTGAAAAGAATCAAGCTTTTGAATGCATGGGAAGAGGGCCTCACAAAAGCACGCTCCGCCTCAACGTCCATGGTATGGTGGTCGTGGTAGAGGAAAGAAAAATGTTCTTGCCCCATCGAAGAATAGACAGCACCAAAATGATCGAGAAGCACGCCACAGAGCCTAAATCGCTGTCGTCATGGTTCGTCCGGTGGTGGGTCCGGGTGGCTATCGCATGGGAGGCTTGAACCACTGTCTGGTCGACGGCCTTTATAAATGGCAGGATTCGGAACTAAGAAATGAAGAGAATTATGCTGGGCTATGGATTAAGAATACACACTTAGCAGCGCGCCTTCGCAGGTCTGGCTGCACCGAAGCGGAAGAATCTTTGGACTGCCAAAACGTAAAGGAAGAAGCTGGGGTCAGGCCGAATAAGGGGGAATCCAGATGTGAGCAGCAGGACGGAGAATGCATGTGGTATATGTGCCACGAGGAGAAGGTGACAAATATCCAACCGTTGCAATTTATCCTGCCCGAGTACTAAACGTTGATGGGGTCTGGGTGTAAAGGTGTCACGCGCACACGTGATTGTGACTGCATCAATCTTATCATGATTGCTCCAGCCTTGATAAATCTGCGAAATCTAGCGCAGGGATCCCCTAGTAATTCATGGCTCGTGATATACTTTGCCTACTGTACTTATCGAGCCTAGAGGCTCAGAAAGTGGAATCTAGATCGCCTGATGACGGGAAAGGTTTTGGGGGGTGCGAACGCCAAAGGAGGCATAGTTGTTGAGCAATGTACTGCCAATACGGTGTCAAGGCGAAGGCAGTTATTCAGAGCTGCACATTGGCTGCACATAGGGTAAGACACTTGGAAAGTGTATAGCAATTTTGACTTGGGCCCATACTACTAGTATGGGCAAGCAAAGCAAGACAAATGTTAAGCTTTGCTAGGAGTAATGTTCTAAGATGTTCAAAGGATATATGTATTTCTCTCCTCGTTCGAAGAGTACTTAGTCAATAAGGAGTTGGTTTGCTACCGGCCTGGGGCTGTTGACCAGTCACCATCTTCAAGAAGCATAGCTTGCGGCCTTGTAGTGCATTCAATGCCAATAGAGAGAGCGAAGAAGAGTGCATGAATGCTTGTTAGCGAACTGTGCACTAGTGTTGGGACTGAACGGTGCCAAGGTCTACGTTGGAGGGGCCGGGCAAGAAACGGGCAACATATTTCATTGACGCCTGTGAAAAAGTACAGTAAACATTACCAGTGAAGTCGATGTGTTGGGCACTGGTAACCGCCTGGATTCTTGAACAAGTACAGCTGGTGGTAGTCCTCTGCATTCCACCAAGGCCCCGCAGTCTTAATCTCGGTAACAATCGTCAGGCCCTACAAATCTTAGGTTAAATCGAATGGGAGCGTTCTAAGGCACACCTTTGGCGTGAAATGCTTCCCCTGGACCTCCTCCGTAACACGCTTTGCCGTTTCCTCCTGCTCAGCACTTGTGGTGAAGATCGCAGACCGATATTCTGTCCAATATCAGAATTTCACGAATGTGCTAATACCACTCACGCGTCCCAGTGTCTCCTCCCTGCCGATTCACCGTTGTGGGATCATGGGTGCGGTAAAAGAACTCCACCAGCTCCGCATATCCCACCTTCTCCTTGTCAAACTCGATCCTGACCGCTTCCGCGTGGTCGGTTGTGCCCGAGCAAACATTCCTGTAGCTGGGATTCGTCACCGATTCCTTCCCGCCCGTATACCCCACGCTGGTCTTGACGATGCCCTTCTCCTTGTAATGCTTGAGGAAGATGTGTTCGGTTCCCCAGAAGCAGCCTTGGCTAATCAGCAAATGTCGCGGATTAATAGAGAGCGTACTACCTGAAGCGAATATCGCTACTTCTGCACCGGCTTGCGAGACTGCGTCGGTCGCCATGAATCGGGAAGTTCTCGAGGTGGAGTATATGGGTAGGAAGTGGGTTATTAAGCCGCGGATGTGGGCAAGCATAAAGATGGCGTGCCCCAGATCACGCGGTCTCAGGCTTGCTCATCGAGAGTGGATTGGATTGGATTGGATTAATACACGGCACGGTCCGAGTGAATTGCGTGGTGGCAGAGGGAAGAAAGAAAGTTTGGCGGAGGTCACACGAGCTTCGAATTCTCTAACGCAAGAATCCGTTCATTGTCAGAATCATTGCTCCTCGAAAGCTTATATGTCTCCTAGTATTACAAAATATATTCTCTTGTTACTACCGCTTCTCCTTGACGAACAACTGCAGCGTCAGATACGACGCAGCGGTCAGTACAGTGAAAAAGATGCCGAGAAGCGCGGTATTGGGCCACCAGAACGACTGACAGGCAATGGTCAGCCGGTCTCGGTCTACCCACGCCAAACAGAAAGCACACACCTGAGCGTGGAGCCCAAACGTAGATAAAATTACAGCAGCCGGGACATCCAACTCAACGCCATACTGGTTGATTCAGCAAAGGGAAGGACCAGACGAACAGTACCCAACCTTGGTCTCGGTAAGATGCAGGTATCTGAGCTCGTTTACCGCTAGAGCCTCGAATGCCGCATGGAAGAACGACACGGTGTGAAGCCAACGGAAAGCAGCAGGCACACTATCTCGGTTGATGAGCAGGCCCGTGAACATGAGGCTGGAATAGGTCAATACTAACAAGAGCCAACAGCCGAGAGAAACACACTTGAATAGCATGACAAGTGTCCCGGCAAGTCCAGCAACGCTCGTGCTTGCGATGGCAATAGAAAGGAACAACACGACCATGGCCGTGGTAAGGTTGAAGAGCACCAGGATCAGCATGAACTTCCAGAACGATACCACCGCCGGAACAAGCCCAACCAGCGGATAGACAATCGCGCCGAACATTATGGGTGGAACAACGCGGAGAGGGAGAATATCGAAGAGAACCTGCCAAAACATCAGTTTTTCGTAGAAAGGCGCTTAGTGGTACCTTCGAGGCAAAGTATGTCACCGTTGAGTAGTATCCATTTGCCCGCTCACGAATAAAGAGTATCCGTTCGTTCGCAAACAGGCCCAGACTCGACAGACAGGAAAATCCAAACAAAGCAAGTGTGAAGAAGAAAAGTCCGAGTCGGTTCTGGAAACCAGAGATGTCATTGCTGTGTCGTTATTAGAATTTAGGTACGATTAATGGGTGGAAGGACATACGTGACATTGTGGAAGAACAGCCCACATATTACTGGGGAAAAGGTGAGCAAGAGCGTCCCTAGAATGAACACACCGACATGCTAGGGCAATTGACGAGAGATAATGTGCTGCTAAGAGCGCTGGGTCTCGGTAAAGATTCTTGAAGGCCCTGCCACTTAGGATTCGGAACTGAGTTCCGTATCCAGCCCGTTTCCGCCCTCGCAATAATGTAGTTTCCACAGCAACGTCGGGCAAACCACCTGTTGTCGCTCTTCTCAACGCTTCGCCCTCTTCCTTGATCCCTTTGGCGATGCCGCTCTCAGCATAAGCGTCAACCAAAGCAGCTAACTTTGGCGGCAACGGCGCATTTGTGACCTTTTTGCCCGATGATGACAACGACACTGCCTCGAGCAGCTGTGAAGTTTTGCGTTTGATATAGTTGACTCCAGCATTCGAGTTGGCTCGCGTCTGTAGTTCTGTTTCCTCGAGGTCAGGACTTGTGGAACCACGAGAGCGAACTGATAACGGCAAAGGTGCTTGTCGCAGCAGACCCCGTTCTTCATCTCCCAGGTTCGTCAGGTCTTCGTGGGGCGATTCTGGCTCGAGCGTTGGACTGATATCATGGCTCATACGCTCATCCAAACTCGCATGCATCGTAAGGTCAACTGAAAACGAGATATCAGAGGGAGACAGTCGGGACATAAATAATGACGAACTGAAGAAGTCGGCGATGTTGAAACCAGGTGGACAAGGTTGGCCGATATCGGAGAAGTAAGCTTGACATTTAGAGAACTCGCCAGCGTAGACCAGCTTTCCGGATGCAAGCAGGATGAGTTGGTCGAAAAGTGCCACTATGTTACTCCGAGGCTGATGGATCGTGAAGAGCACAGTTCGGTTGTAGTCTCGTGCCAGAGAAACTAGGCTTTCTACAACGTTGAAGGCATTATAAGCGTCGAGTCCTTTATGCAATGAGCTCAAACGTCTATGTAGAATGATTGGACCAACCACTAGTGGGTTCATCGAGGAACAGGATGGAGGGACTGGTGACAAGCTCACAGGCAATGGACACTCGACGCTTCTCGCCTCCGGATATAGAGCGATGGCCTATGACACGTAAGACACAGTATCAATACTTGAAAGAAAGAAAGAATGCTTACCAACGCCTCCAATTCGCGAATCTTTAATACCCAAGATGCCTAGCTCGTTCATCGTCTCCAGCGTTCTGAATTTTTTCGCTTCTAAACTCATGTCTCTCGGCAAGCGCAACAAGGCACTATAAAGCACTGTTTCGTAGACCGTTAACGTGCTCATAAGGGTGTCTTCTTGGTCCACAAAACCGGTGACAGCCTTGAATTGGTCGTTGGCAACCTCACGGCCGTTAACGTAGGTGGTGCCTGAAACAGTTCCTCGTTTGGCCTTGCGTGCGAGAATGTCGAGGAATGTAGATTTGCCGGCTCCAGAAGCACCCATAATCGCGCAAACTTGCCCGGGTTTGACCGTTCCAGAAATGTTGTCGAGTAAAACCCGCGAGCCAAGCGTATACGAGATATTGGAGAAATGGAGAGTTGCCGGAACGTGATCGTTCATGAGTCGGGCTTGCTCATCGTCTGGCAGACGGATTTGACCGAACTCGCCTCCGCTTGCTCGACCAGCATACCATAGAGAAGCAGACGAGATAAGAATGATGATGCCCACTCCTGCCGCACTAAGAGCCATCCATTTGGTGTTATCGGGTTTGGGCGGCCGCACGAAACCGGGGACTTGGGAAAAGTGGAGACATTCACCACCATCGCAATTAAGGGTGATGTAAGGGTCGCCAAAAATGTCGCTGATGAGCTCGTTCATCGCGGGTTCCTCAAACCGGCATCCCGCGCCGGACTTGCAGCTAAACTTGGCTGGACCCTTGATCTCTTCCCGCAAAAAGTCGTCAATATCTGACCAACGCAGTGAGTAAAATCGCTTGACGCCTGAGCGGGAATCACTCACTGACGCTGCCGTCTTCTCCACAAATGAATCGTCCTGGGATACAGTTGCACTTGATATGTTCGCAGTCATACGTTGTCCCGTTTGTGGAGTATTCATTGGAAGATTTCGAACTGCATTGATCCAGAGCGCAGTAAAATGATTCCTTCTGGTCCACCCAGAACTGGAACTGGCACGTATCCCGAGCTGTTTCGCAGCTGAAGGTTACTTGGACAGGTCGATGGGCGCCGACTTGATCGATAATTTTGCGGTCTACAGCGTGTTAAATGACGCGTTGCTTACTGGAGGAGAAGAGCCACGCACTTGTTACGTTGCACATTTGGTGGTTGTTGAACACCGTCTCGCCGCCTGTATAACACCTCATGTCTTCTGGGTCAATTTCATCGTCCAGGTTCTCGGGGCCCCCAGCCAGAGGAAAGTTGGCACAAGCCTGGTTAGTCTGACAAACTGTTCACATTATTAGAGCAAGCAACCGAGGTGGAATATAACTAGCGCACCGTTGCAATTGATACCTCCCCATCCTTCCTTACATTCGCATGCCTTGCCCTCTTCCCGAAGCCGTCGCTGGTCTCCATCCGCAAGTGAATCACATTCTAGCACCTTGTCAGCGAGTTAGTGACGGAGACGTTGAGGCATACGTGGTATTAAGCAGTCTATTCCTCCCCAACCCGCTGGGCACTTGCATTGCCCGTCGTACTCATTACATTCTCCATACTGTCCACAAGCAAACACGGGAAGCTTGCAATTAAAACATGGTGGACATTTTTCTGGACAACATGAGCGGAGAAATATTTCTGACTTTGAGAGTCACGCACCAGGCACAGTTCCCTGCGTGAGACCCTGGCCAAAAGTGTCAGAGTAATCTCCAGAATAATTGGCAGTCAGTTCCTTACAGAAAGCTCGTAGCTCGAGTAAGGCAAAGACCGGCTTGCAGAAGAGTTTGAAGATCTTCTGTAGGCAAGTACCGGAGACAGAATTAGTAGGTAGAGCAGTGGGCGACGCAGGAAGCGAAGCGCCATGAAGGCAGCGGATACGCAGTGATGTCACGGCTTGTGACACGCCTAACCTAAACTACAACTTCTGCTGTCGACCTCAGGCCGAAGCCCCAAATTTTAAGCTTGGTTTAAATCGCAAGGCCGCCAAATCACGGGTAGTGAGCAAGCGATCGCGGAGATACGGGGAAGCGTCAAATAATTCGCCCTCACAGTCTACCATCCCAAACATGCCACAAAAAATGAAGGCAGCGAAAACGCAAGAGAAGGTCCACTATAAGTGGCACCCACGCTCGTGAGTTGAGAGCATTGCTTTCCTCACTCTCCGCTCACTCACCATGAACTTGAATAGTTTTAATCCTGTCCTCTCTCTCGGAGTCGACCGCCAAAAGGACCGTCACCGAACCGGTCAGCCTCAGGCTCAGTCTCCCCGACCACGTCGTGCTGCACCTGCAAAGCGCGATTTGTTGCTCACGGCTATCAGCAACTCAGTATCGGGCTCTTTCCACTCATCTGAGCTACTCAGGCAGTGATGTCACGGCTTCAACTTATAGCAGCTCTTATAGCTCGGAAGTTGGGACACTTCTGTTGCAGACCTCATTCTATGGCCAACTGTGACTGTGTTGGTTAGCCCTTCAGAGCTGCATCAGACAATACCGTGGCTTTTGTGCACAATCTATAAATTGCAGCCCTCAAATTCTTCAGATTGTCATTCAACTCAACTTCTGCAGGTAACTTCAAGTTGTGTCATAAACATGTTCTTTGCTTTTCTCAATCTTGACGCGCTTCCACTGATGGCCAACAAGCATCCTGGCGCGACAATGACACATAAGGCGTTGTTCAGAGTTTTTACTCTCCAATTCTTTGAAGAAGCTTTTGACGCTCTCCAATTGCCAACAAACATGAAGTCCCGACAGCGACAAACACATTCACCAATGAGTAAAGTACATACCAATATCTCATCCGTCTGAGCTCACCAAGCGCTAACAAGTTCATTTCTAAACTCTTCCCTGAGCTTCATATGAGAATCGGGGGCGGAGAGCTGTTTCTCTTCAAGAACCCAGTGGTGTCAACCGCCATCAACCTTCCTGGTAAATGACTTCTTCAAGTCTATTCTCCATCTCAAACATCCGCAGGTGAAGTCTGGTTATATATTTTACTCCTTGCTTGCCTCAACTTTTATACTCTTCCACTCAATCACCAACGCGCCGATCGCCGACAAGCACCCGGCAGCGACAGCGACATAGAATGCGTTCACCAACGCCGTATTGTACACTCTGATAACAGCCCCCAGCACGTCTCCCGGTACGACAGCCCTTATACTCGCCGCGCCGGCACCAAGTAAAACTCGGGGGTCGACACTGGGCACTTGGGTCCGCAAACCGCTTACAAGCTGGTTTTGGAAGACATTCTGGGCAACCGACACGAATATCGAGCCGCCCATTGTCTGCAGAAACAGGACGACAGCAGTACCCGTTGGCACGTCCTTGAGGTCGAGGACTGCTTGGATCGCCATGACCGGCTGGTTCATTCCCGCCCCACAGCCAATGCCCACAAGCACCTGGTAAGCGATCCATTTCGCATGACCTGTGTCGACTTGGAGCGTTGTCAGTAGCCCGCCACCCACAGCCATGAGGATCGTGGAGAGGTACATGAAGGGCACGACGTAGCCAATCGCTGTAGTCAGCCCTCCTGAAAGGATCATCGCAAAGACGAGCGACAAGATCATGGGGAGGTTGTCGATGCCTGATTTAATGGCGGAGACACCTTTGATGGCTTGGAACCAGATGGGGAGGTAGAAAACGAAGACAAAGAACGTCGCGCCCTGGAAGAACGCAAACAGGGCGCCTGACCAGATACTCCGTTGTTTGAAGATTCGCGGAGGGACGGTACCAGAGTCTTGCTTCCATACTTGGACAGCGATGAAGACGATGGTCAGGACGCCAAAGAGGACTAACAACGCGATAATGCGCGGGTTGGACCACGCGTATGCTGCGCCGCCCCACTGGAGCGCGAGAAGCAGGCAAACGACGGCGGGGATGATGATGGCAGTTCCAATCAGGTCGAATTGCTGCAGGCGGTGTCTGAAATCCATCCGCTCGCCCATCTCTTGATGCGGGTTCGTAAAAAGGAAGACCATGATGAAGAGCGTGACGGCGCCTGCGGAGCGGTTAGTAGACCCCACATGAGCTAAAAACTCACCAATTGGCAGATTGATTAGAAAACACCACCGCCAGGTAACTTTGTCGGCAAATGCTCCACCCATCAGTGGCCCAGCAACGGAGGCGATCCCGTAGGTTGATCCTATGAGGCCGGTAAACATTGGCCGCTTGGGAAGTGGGGCCGAGTGGGCAACAATAATGAGCGCCCCCGAGAAAATACCCGCACAGCCCACTCCTGCGATTGCTCTGCCAATAATCAGAGCAGCTGATGTCGGGGCCACGCCACAAATCAGCGACCCAAGCTCGAAGATGGAGATGGCGGCAATATAGACCCATTTTATAGGCAGGAAGGTGTAAAGACGACCCCAAAGAAGCTGGAATGCGGCGGAGGTGAGGAGGTATCTACAACAGGCGCGTCAGTTGAGCTATTTTGGCCCAGAAATGCCACGCACGCGGAGCCATACCAGCCTATATCCTCCAACGAATCGAAATACGTCGAAATCTTGGGAATGGCGGTAGCGATGATGGTGTTGTCCAGTGCCACGAGGAACACGGAAATCGCGAGGGCCAGAGTGAGCAGAACGAGGCGGACACCAGTCGGGTACTCTGGCTCGACGGTTGAATCGGTTTTGGGCAGCTTTTCGACATCGTTGGGGGTTGGATGGCCAGCTTCGGACGTGTTGGTGCTTTTTTTCTCCAGCTCGGACAGCATCACGGACGGCTTCGTCTTGAGATCGACCGTCGCTGCTTCAGATGCCATCGTCGACCGAAAAGAAGGTGCGCAACTGCACCCTCCACTTCGTCCTCCTATATAGAAAATCTTTAGCGGCACACCACATGGATAAACCCCTCGTCAATCTCACTTTCGAATCGGCATCATTCGAAGCCGACTAGTTGGTGACTAGTCAGTCGTCGACCTGAGATGCCGACGTCGATCTCGGATCGGAATCATTTGGCCACAACTTGTACCTTGGGTCCTGCACATACTAGGACAGGCATGATGAGGCATCTTAACGCACTGTGATGCAACCCGCTTGCTCTAGTTGCGTTACATAGATCAAGCAATACTTCGACGATGCAGTGAAGTACTCACATCCACTATAAACACGATATCACTTGTCTGCGACGATCAATGATGCCAACAGCTCCGCGACTCAATTTGTCGCGTGGCATCTATAAGTAACGGGTCAAATAAAGTATCGTGGGCTGAGCTTGGGCATGTCTTGCTTTCAAAGTTATGTAACAAGTCTTTTCTTGCGAAAGATCTTACTCGGACATATTTTTTATGACTGATAGCCTGAGCACACACCTTATTTGGGTTATTGACTGGCCAAGGCAAGTCAATGTGGTTCCATTCCCCTTCTGCTACAGGTAGCAGTGGTTCATATTGCACGAGTCTTGCATGTTCGCTCTATTTATCCTTCTTGGACTCGTTGCATGGACATTCCGAGCACATTAAATAGATACCCACAAGCTTGTAGCTTATACCATGACTGAGAATAAAATGTCTTCAATCAATACACTGGCCGCTGAAGTGTGTGTGAGGTCATATCAACGTGATTTTTTAATCCCTTTCTTTTTCTCTCCCTTCATGCCAACCTCAAATCCTTTTCGGCAATTTCTCAACGCATGAACACCGTACGGAGGAATCTCATCAAGTCCTAATGCACGAAGCGCGGCCGGTTTGACTTTTGAGGTACGGTTCTGAACTCTCGCCCAAGCCCCCTCTGAGCTTGTCTCTTTTACAGACCCAATATCGTGGCGGTCGTAAACTCCCTACGAGAAAATACCTCTGAGCTGTTAGCAGGCACAAGCGCCTTTTCACAGTAAACTTATCATGTTTCGGTCTGAAATTGGCCGTGGATGCTTTGCGTAGCTGGGAGAACGGGTACGGGCTCTATTCCTGTCGCTGTCGGTGTGCTAATCGTTCTGCTCAGCCTCCTCGACTATCATTCGTTACCTCCAGAAGGCCTCAAAAATAGAGATAAGTATGTATACTGGTGGTGTTGTCGAGCTAAAACATTTTGGGCAACAAAAAGGTCCGTGTACTTGTACTTCCCGTTCTTCTATCAGTGTTGCTGAATTTTTTTTGCGGTTTAATAGTCATGGCACGATGCTTGGCTCTGGCTCCAAACGACCTCCCGTCTTCTTGGTCCAGAATGCGCTGTCGAGGCCAGTAGTCGCGGACATGTTATCAATTCGACAAACCCAAGTGTGTTCACCCACCTCTTCCCTTTCTCGTTTGCTGAAGGAGTTAGTCATCGATCCTAGTCGAAGTTTTTGTTGTCGACCTCATTTTCCACCGAGCTTCCGGGTTTTTCCTTTTTTTTCACCGGCGCAGCGGAAATGTTTTCGACACTGCACAAGCCAGTTCAATTCAAAACCCAGATTCACGCGAAGGTGTGCTCGCCTGGTCGAAGGTTTGTTGTCGTACTTGCGCATTCGACTCTGACGACTCCGTGTAGTTTTGATGGTCTTACACAGACGACATTGCAATTTTCGAGCTATTCCATCTTTAGTACACCCAAGCTCGCGTGGTGAGATTGTAGTTGTTATTGACTTGCTGTCCGCTAAATCTTTACCAAGCCTCTTCAATTAGTATCCTTGGAAGCTCAGAACAATTTGCGGGTCCGGATTGCGACGGGAGGAGTGGAGTCCGGTCATATCTGGCACTCCGTCGTTGCATAGCCGCCGATTGGCAGGCCCCACTCGGAGAGACAATCCCCGCGGTCTCACCTTTCGAGACAGCGGAGCAGATCGTCCTCAAAAAGCCACCTTCTGGCTCTCTCCTGTCTCCACACTACTCTTGCTTTAACCACCATTACATGCACCACGAGTCGACCTGCCTCTTAACAATCCACACACCCACTCCATTTATCATGCCGGCTCAATTCTCCCCCTCCTCTCGCTCCCTGCCCGACCTTACGGGGACCGTTCTCGACGGTAACCTCAAGCTCGTGAGCATTTTGGGCGCTGGCTCATTTGGAAAAGTCTATAAAGCCATCGATCTCGACTCACCAGCCGAAAACCCCATATATTATGCTGTCAAATGCTTGCGACTGCACAAAATTGGGTCCAAAGAGCGCCAGCGGCAAGAACAGGAAGTCAGACATCATAAGGCCGTTTCAGACGACCCGCGAGTCGTCTCCTTACATCGATCCTTCACATCTGGCGAATTCCTCTTCGTTGTCCTCGAGTATGCCGAGAAGGATGTCTTCCAAGTCATGGTTGGCCAGAACATGTTTTATTGCCAGCCAGTCCGTGTCAAGCAGGCATCCGGGGAAATACTCGATGGTGTTGAAGCCATGCACCGTTGTGGCATCTACCACCGAGATATCAAGGCCGAAAACCTTCTCTGCGACAGCGACGGGAAGAACATCCGTATTGCGGACTTCGGTCTATCGACTAGGAAAATACGTTCTTTCCTGTTCGGCTGTGGGTCGCCAGCGTATATGTGCCCAGGTTTGTCTTCATTCTCCTTCTCATATGATCGTTATTTCTGACTTCTTTATCCAGAGTCGCTTGACCGAAACCATCCAGCCGCTCTTGAGGGCTTCTCGCCCAAGGACAGCGACATGTGGGCCATCGCTGTCCTCTTTTGTACCTTTGTTGCGGGCGCAACGCCATGGCAAAAGGCTCACATTTCCGACCCGTCATATCACTTGTTCCTCCGGAATAAAGACCACCTCATCCACGACTTGGGTCTGACAAAAGAAACCAACGCTTTGCTGCGGCGCTGTTTCCACAAGAACCCGCGGATGCGACCCACTCTTGCGGAGTTCCGGGCCGCCATCAATGCGATGGATCGGTTTACGCTAGACGATCCTCTTCCGCCAGCCGACACCACTGTTGAGAACGGCCACCCTAAAGAGCCGTTGGAACCGAGCTCCAGCTCCTCTTGCTCCCAACGAGGCGAGACGTCAGAAGAGGGACATTCTACACCACCCACATCATATATTCCCTCTTCGTCTTCGCATGGCGCAGCCTCCGCTCCCCGACAAGTTGCTAAGACATCTCGGAAGTTCCCGCGGAGGCTGTTCAAGCACAAGCGGAAACAGTCGCCCCCTCCTCCTTCTCCGGAAGCCAGTGCACCTACTGGCCCGATTGGGCATCGCAGGCGGAGGTCGTCGCTGCAACTGCTCGCCCAAAATCTGGGGCTGAAGTGGTGAAGAATTTTTTTTACTCAATTGCATGGACTTGTTCGTTACTTGAATACCTACTGCATCTTCTCGTTATACCACGCATGAAATGACAAATTTGACTAGTTGAAAGTTGTTTCCTGTCGCGTGAACCGACATCGTCAGCCAGAGTTTCCACTGAAAATGACTTGCTTTCAAGCATATACCGTCTACGGTAACGGTCTTCTCTTTTTTGTCTGTTTTTGTCTGTAAGCTGCAAAGTCATGTGATCGCTGATCAACCCTTCCCAAAACTTTCAACAAATTGACTCTTCAACTCTTGGGAAACCAAACACTACGGGAACTCATGTTAGAACAACGTGTGACTAGTTCTTTCTTCACACAACTAACGCTAACTCACTAACTCTTGTGCCCCACTCCGTCCATTACAGGTGTTACTAGTACCCGTAGATGTTCTTCTGATCATCCTTCATGCTATGCTCCCCGATCTCACGGGCTCTGAGCCGACCCCCCGCCTCGAGAGCTGCGAGCGGAGCTGTGCGCTAGCTTTTTCAAGCACTTGTCGTTTGCTACGCTGGCAAATTGCCCCGTGGATATTCGACCATCTGTATAACTGGAATCGCGGGACACAAAACGTCTGGCCCAAGTCTCTTTGGTCCTATCCTACGTGCGTTCCGCTCCTATTTTGAAGAGATTACTTAAGCTGAGTGAGCCACGACTGCTAGAAAACTTGAAATCCGTGATAGATCTGTCCGCCATCCCGCCCAGCTTCTAGTGAATCACTCTCTAGCTCTTGCAATAGAGTCCATGCAACACCTGAGGACAGTCACCATCCGATTGGAAACAGCGATACCCACTTATTTGCTCGTTGCATTATCGAACTGTCGGGCTCTCGCAGACTTGACGCTTCAACAAGCACGGCTGGACGGAGAAGACGTTCCTACTCAACTCGTATTTCCTGCACTTGAAACACTGATCATCCGATTTGGCGGCATCTGGGGCGTCCTTCGGGACCCTGCAGCTCCCCATGACGTGGCTCAAGAACATCGCAATGTGCATCGCTTACTGCATATGGTTTCCCCGCGTCTCAAACATCTAACACTATCCGGCGACTACATAAGCTTGTCCTTCACCGAGGTTATTTGGACGCAGCTCGTTAGCTTCACCGTTACCGAGCACCCTCCACGCCCACACATCACGGTCCCCGACCTCATCGTGAATATGCCGTATTTGCGTACCCTGGAGCTGTGTTTCACGCCGAACAACGCCGTTCAGGAGTATCCCCCATTTCGCACAGGCTGGCAGGGTCATAACTGGCCTCCCAATCTTACGTCATTATCGCTGTCCAATGTTGATTGGCACGAGGACTCAATTTTTGCCGCGATCCCTGGTGGCCTTAAGCAGCTCCGCCTCCTTGCAGAGCACGACTTGTATGACCGAACTGCGCCACACCGACCAAATATAGGATTTCAGCTGCTCGAGGAATACCCAGTCAAAGGCTTCGGTCTTCTCACCGTGCTTCCTCGTATCCCTGACCTGTCTGCGCTGACCAGCCTTTCGGTTACGCTCGGCGAGGATACTCCATCGTCAGACCTCCTCTATGCCATAGAAAACAAATGTCCTTCCCTTCGCGATCTGCAAGTGCGGTATGTTGCCTCAGAGAGGTGGCGACTTTTATACACAATTGACCTGGACAAACTGGACACAGTGTGTCCCTCTTCTTTGTGCGATTTGTGTGTTATGCTGAAAACTGTGTTTAATCATAGCGCAGTTTGTTTTTCCTTGCCTTCCGCAAGTTCCAGCACCTCACACATGTCACATTCTTCATTGTCGACCACCCCTTCGACCATATCCTCGGTGCTCCAGCCCATTCGGCGTACAGGTTGCTCAGCGAGGCCCCCCGTCTACAGCTCGTCACGTATAAGTTTGGTGGATACTACAATCTGGGCTCGTTTGCCCCGGTTGTTTATGCTTGGGATCGTGCACTGCTTGATGGACCGCCACCGCCCCGCTCGATTAGGCACTCCAGCGCCCGGCTTATCGTCGTGCCAATGCCAGTGGCATAAGTACAAATCAATATTTGTGGTTGATACACTCTGTTTATTGATTGCTGTAGTTACTGTTGAAGATTATGTAGCTCACAGCCTGTCTATGCGCTCGTTCGTGCGCCGATCTATTGAACTCTATTCGCAAAACGTTGACTCGGAGAATTCAAACGAAGGCGTTGACTTTCAGACCAAACTGGTCTCGCTTACTTCGGGTGGGATTCCACTCCTTGGAAGGCTGGGATGCAGGCGCAGTGCTATGGGCGGTTGACATTGTCATGGACTGTGGAAGAAATGAGAGTGAGAGGAAAGAGAATCCAATGTGTATTCAGAGAGAATACATGCTATTTATACTACTACTAAAGTATCTGGTAAGTTCTACCAGATTCTACAACATTCTGACTTGACTAAGTCAGCGCCGGGCTGAATGATCCGCCCGGAGTTCGCTATGGTAAGCGGAATTACAACACTCCCCCTCGAACGAAGCGGCGGAGAATGCCTGGGGAGGTATTGGGGCAAGAGATGCCGCAGATGGGAACTGTGCCGGGTTAGCGGCTGGTGACGCAGATGTGGCCGTAAGCGCGATGTCAAGGAAAGATTCTTCCTGCGCGTGGCCGGCGAAGGTGCCGGGCTTGGCATACTTGCTGGTGCGAGGGCCGAGCACGATGTTGCGCTCTGAGATGTCGCCAATGATCTCCTTGCGCGGAGCAGGTGGGTGCGGAGTGGATTCCCGTGATGGGATTGGCGTGAGAGTGGAGGGTGCCGTGGAGACCGGGGTGTGGGGATTTAGACCCGAGTTCGACGTTGGCGGGGTCGCCGGTCGCTGAGCCGGTGGTGTGGCGGGTGCAGGATTGGACTCCCCCTGGTCCTGGGGTGTGTCCGGAGGTGTCGACGGCCGGTTGTAGTAATCAACCTCGTTGTCGTTGTTATCTGATGCTGCCCAGATTGGCGAAACATTGCCAAGGGCGTAGACGTCGTCGATGTTGCGGCAGTGCGCGAATCGTTGACCATTGCGACTGATATCCGATTGGAAAGTCGAGTGTGAAGCCGGCGCGATGAAGTTTGCCGAGAGAGATGATATTGTGTGGGGAGGAAGGAAGGTACAGGATTCGGAGCAGAGTCACTGTATTCACTATCCCGTCGATGCCCAATGCCAGTCGGACGGTGCCTTCTCCCGCTGCTGACAGCTGGCCGATTCCGTTAACGCGGTGCCGGTAGAGTGGCGTGTAGTTGTGGAAAAGGGATTTGTCGTTGGTTATATGGACGTTGGATCCGCTGTCCAGGACCCAGGAGGTTCGGCTTAGCGTGGGCCGGCGCCCGGAAGCCAAGAGCGTCGTGTGAGCTTGTGGAAGCGAGGACGGAAGGTGCTTGAGTAAGCCGGGGGTGTGGCCGCGAGTGGGCCGGCGTTCGCGTCCGGTTGCCTGTGTCAGCGTGGACCAAGCGTGGACGGAAGGTGGCAGGATTGTTGCCGAGAAGAGGTGGGGCGATGTCCGCACGGTTGTCGCGTCCCGAAATGCCTGCGCGGCACCGGAGCTTGTCGAAGCGGGGTGGCTGGATGCCCCTGTGGGTGTCCGATGTTGCCGAGAGGTTGCCCGAGAGTCAGGGCGAGAGATGGAGCCAGCGCGGCTCGGCGTTGACGGTGTTCGCATGAGCGTGTCAGTAAACATGTGGACGTGGGAGTCCGGGGGGCTGTGTCCGGACCGATGGCCGTGCCGTGATGTGGCGGTGGAGTCGGTGCGCGAGCGGCGCTCGGACGAGGGTGCAGCCTGCCGATCCGTTACCTGCCCAAGTCGCGGCTTGGGTAGTGTCTCCGGGCTGGTAGAAGAACGCGAGTCGATGGACGCGAGTGCGTCGGGCTGGGGAATGACAGGTGGTGTCGTCATGGTGCGTGATAAGCGGCGGAGTGGATGGTGGTGCGTCATTCAGTTCAGGTTACCGGGGCCCATAACCTGTGGAAGAAATGAGAGTGAGAGGAAAGAGAATCCAATGTGTATTCAGAGAGAATACATGCTATTTATACTACTACTAAAGTATCTGGTAAGTTCTACCAGATTCTACAACATTCTGACTTGACTAAGTCAGCGCCGGGCTGAATGATCCGCCCGGAGTTCGCTATGGTAAGCGGAATTACAACATGGACTGAAGTTAAACGGAGAATATGCCATCACCAAAACGGGCTCCATCCTGCTCCATCATGATCGGTCGTCACAGAGTGACCTCACGCGTTTCGGTCCCTTGCGCATTACCTCCAGGACGCCGATGACTAGCTCGACTGCGGGCGTAATGGTATGGCGGACATCGCAGCTCGTCATGGTGCCCGACTTGCCACTGATGACTCTGCAGCTGTCGCGCAGGTCGCAGTCTACCGCAGTCCTAGTCGCCCATATAAGCCCCCAAATGCTTCAAGTGTAAGCATTGAACGACACTAGCGACTCAAATAACAGACATGGACGACGATATTGCCGCGATTGTGCTCGACAACGGGTCTGGGATGTGCAAAGCTGGATGTGAGTGGTTGCTTTTCTCCGTTGCTTGCGAGCTGACTGGTTTACTAGTTGCTGGTATGTATGTCTTGTGGAGTCTATAGACTCGAATCGCTAACGATAAGCAGGCGACGATGCGCCGAGAGCAGTTTTCCCGTGCGTTTGCTTTTGCCTACAAAATGAAGCTCGTCTAACATTTTCTAGGTCTATTGTCGGCCGTCCGCGCCAACAAGGGGTCATGGTAGGGTTCGGGAACAAGGACTCGTATATTGGGTACGTGAATAAAACTCATTTTGGCGAACTTTTAGCTCACTCTCCCTCAGCGATGAAGCACAAGCCAAACGAGGGGTCTTGTCTTTACGGTACCCCATTGAGCACGGCATAGTCACCAACTGGGACGACATGGAGAAGATCTGGCACCACACATTCTTCAACGAGCTCCGTGTCGCGCCAGACGAACACCCTGTTCTCCTCACCGAGGCCCCGCTCAACCCCAAAAACAACCGGGAAAAGATGACGACCATTATGTTCGAGACGTTCAATGTCCCCGCCTTCTTTGTCCAAATCCAGGCGGTGCTCTCGCTCTACGCCTCTGGCCGGACGACAGGCATTGTGATGGACTCTGGCGACGGTGTTTCGCATGTGGTGCCGATTTACGAGGGGTTTTCGCTTCCGCATGCAATTCAACGGCTCGATGTTGCTGGGAGGGATGTTACCAGCGCGCTGGTGAAGAATTTGGGCGAGCGAGGGTACAAGTTCGTGACATCAGCGGAGCATGAGGTCGTCAGGGACATCAAAGAGCGGTTGTGCTATGTCGCGCTCGACTTTGAGGACGAGCTCAGGAAGGCAGCGGAGTCTTCGGCATTGGAGAAGAGCTACGAGCTTCCGGATGGTCATGTTATCACTATTGGCAGCGAACGGTACGTTTTTCTTCTTGATGTCTATGCTTTCCTTAATCTCCCCACTCAGCTTCCGTGCTCCCGAGGCGCTTTTCCAGCCATCGATGCTCGGACTGGAGTCCCCTGGCATCCAAACCAAGACGTTTGTCATCTGCTCCCTCTCGCCTATGATTGAATAGCTTTACAGCTACGACTCGATAATGCGATGCGACCTCGACATTCGGCGCGACCTCTACAACAACATCGTCCTTTCAGGGGGCACAACGATGTTCCCCGGCCTGGCAGACCGCATGCAGAAGGAGATGGCCGCCGTCGCTCCCGCCAGCGTCAAAGTCCGTTTTCCCCTCTCATCCTTGCCTGAATGCTGACGGAGTTGCTTATGTAGGTGCGCGTTGCTGCCCCGCCCGAGCGCAAATACTCTGTCTGGATTGGAGGCTCGATCCTCGCGTCACTTAGCACGTTCCAGAATATGTGGATTTCCAAGCAGGAATATGACGAGATGGGGCCGGGTATTGTTCATCGCAGTAAGCGCATATTTTGTTGGGAGAAGCGAAGTCTTATGGGTTTTTGCAGAGTGTTTCTGAGTTGTTGGATCGATGAATACTTGGATTGTAGACGATGATTGTCTTTTCGTATGCTTCTTACTGCAGTGCCTCGTCTGGGCAAGTTGAACGACCCATCATAGCTTTGGCCGAGTAATGCGAGGCAGGGTCTGTTAAGAGAGAGACAAATGAGTGCTGAGGCCTGAGGTATGGGCTGGGGTGGACATTAAGTACGCTTATTGACTACACTATCATCATTAGCTTCCTGTTAGACCTTACTTATGTAGGTCGGTGAAAGCAGTACATACTAGTAGCGCGATAAGTATTGATTTTTTATTCGGGTTGGTACCAATTCAGGACCATTCTCTCACCGTCCCGCGGAAGGATCATACTTCGTGAATTCTCCCGTCAGATTAGACAGCGGGAGCTCTGCAATCACCGCATTTTGCGTCCCGCTCAAGAGGTGTCAGATCTATTCTGGGCCCGCTCTGATTACTGATTGGTGGAACCAGTCCTACCCCAGTGTAGGGGACCAAAGCGGCGAATACACTTTCTTTCTTTCTTTCAGCAAAAGCTGGTCCAAATCTGTAATTTGGCTTGAATTCGGCCTCAGCCAAACTCTTCGATCAACTCAAGTGAATCGTCACAGTCACTCTTTCTTTGACTCTTGACCTCTTTCCTCTTCCTTGAGCCTCAAAATTGAGTAACCCATCCGCCAACCAACGCCACTCTCCTCTCTCCCTTCATTACTACCTTCTCTGAGGGCTGTTTGGCTCTCTTCGGCTCCGCTGGACACTCAAGTGACCCAGTATATGCTTTTCGACTGATGGTCGGTCGGAACCTCAACTGGTGCGTTATCCTCGAGACATATGTCCCCTCCTCATTCCTCTCCCTTCTTTCTATGTAGGCCCCTTGGCCAAGAAAGTCCTCGCACGATTCCCTCGATGGTACATATGCCCAATATGATCTCAATTAAAAAACACGCAATGCAATTCTAGGAGTGGCTGGCTGCTGGCTGTCGCGTCACAGGTACATTCCTTCCCCAAAACACCATCCTCCTCGTTAATCACAACACTGCAGACTCCATTCAAGTGGACCTCAGCTGACACCCTGGATGTTGTCGACTGTTGCCTTCATCAAGCTTAATGGTGGACTCACCAGCGAACCTGACCCCTCCTGCAACCCTTCGTTGCCTTGCTCACTATTTTTTCCCTCTCCAGTCGAGAAGGGCATTGACAACACTCTGTTCAGTGTGCATTTCCATCGCGACACTTTCCGCTCCCTTGGGACGATGAACCCACGAACAAATATACACTGGTTTTCAAGGTTCTCTGTGGCGTTACCTGACGACATTCGGATGGTGGAAGATGTGCTCCTCGCCCATTCGAATTTGGGCTCCAATTTCCCTTCAATCAACCCGACGAGCTCCAGTTTGAGCGAAAAGCCGAGTGTAGTACTCAGGCTTGACGCACTGGTGATTGCCCACGACGAAGTCTTGTCGCATCCAGTTATGACAAACAAGTCCTCGTTACCGGAAGACGAGCGGACCTCATCGATATACCCTTCCTCTCGTGCGAAGGTGTACCAGGCTTCTGCTTGTGCGTCTACATAACGCCGGAAGCGGGATATGGGTAGAAGATTCTGGCGCGACGCTCCTTCTGGGAGAACAAGTGCCGCCCCAGCTTTGGAGCGAAAGTCGAGGGTTATACCGCTGCCTGCTTTGATGGGAGGAAATCTGAGGCACAGACTTTGTGAGCTTGGTCTCTCAAACAGTGGAACTCATAGCTTACGGTGGAAGTACAGAAGACGCCTCAGCCCCTACAGACACTGTGCAAGCGACTGCGTTGGTCAAGATGGATCCTTGCGAATAATGATATTTCCGCTTGGTGATGTCGTGTTTCTTCAACGGGAAAGCCTTGAACTCGTTCGGAATTTCCCGTTGGCTGTTAATTGACGACCCGGAAGGCATGATTGTGTTGAAGAGTGGCTCGAATGAGCCATTCCGGAGGAACCCTACATCCCCGATGCCTATACCAGTCTGTTGGTATTCCTCGCACAAGTTCTCGTTGGGCTCGGGTGTGAACAAGGGGATTCCGTCTTCGGGGGACTTGAGGCGGCTAGTGTAGAGCTCGCTTGCGGACGGCGCCATGAGCAGGATACTTAGTCGGGGAAAGGTGTGACACTACTTGTCTCGAGAGTGACAGCGTATCTTAACCTTCCAATGGTTGTAGAACATGCTTCTCTACTGTTTGACCAAGTTCAAGAGTTCCTTGGTCCTCATTGGAACAACCTTCAATGTTGCTGGCTTTCGCGACTATGAGACTGCGGTGATTTTGCTCAGTGGCATTGCTTAAGGCGCATCTGATGATGATAATCGCTGGCGGTCGATTCACAAGATAACTTATTCGCCACCCTTGCGAACTCCTCCCTCTCCTCCTCGTCAACCTGTTTTCACCCAACGTTTCCGGATGTTACTGCGCGTCTAGCGCAAGAGACGGTGTGACGGTGGTCTGATGGACAACGTGCGAAGGGGAGCGGCAGTACATCTGCACTGCTGTAGTGCAACCCGTTGTTGGAGAAGGCGTTGTCGCACAAAGCTGTAGACCAAGGCTGTAGGTGGGCTCTTCGACTTGAACAACACGCACTGTTGGATCATTGGTTATGGGTTAGGGTTAATTGGTGTCAACGCCAATTGGTGTTAACGCCAATTGTTACTAGAAGAATGTTGAGGACAAGGAAACAGATTGAGGCGGAGCTGGGAAATGCGGGTAGTACTTAGGCAACAATAGGATCAAGCCCATTGCTAGTGTTCTATTGAAGCTCGTCGAATCATGTATTGTTGGAATTTGCTGTAGCGGCGCGCCGGCCCGGAACGTGTCACTATGTCACCTGTGTGACCCTAAGGCGCCGTCCTTGTTTCTTCGCAGTCAACACAGTTGCCAAATATTCTCGTGATGCCTTGAATCGTCTCAGCTTTACTCATAACAACCATGACGATTGTGCTCGACAATGGTTCAGCAATGTCTAAAGCCGGATGTATGCTCTTAAACTTGAAAACTGTCTTTTCTCGGCTTCCTTTCTAACTCGCCGATAGTTGCTGGTATGCAAGGGCATTATTGCCGCCCAGAATATTAACGAGGAGCAGGCGATGATGCCCCACAAGCGGTTTTCCCGTATGTTATCCTTGCGGGTTTCTATGTAGTCTAATCTTGGCAAGGTCAATTGTCGGCCGCCCGCGTGAACGCGGAGTCATGATTGAGTTCGGGAACAAAGACTCCTACATTGGGTGCGTGAATAACACCATTTTATGCAGACTTATAGCTCTTGGTCTCCCAGTGACTACGCTCAAGCCAAACGAGGGGTTCTGTCTCTTTGCTGGCCTATCGAGCGCGGCGAAGTCACCATTTGGGACGACATGGAGAAGATCTGGCGCCACACTTTCTCTGTAGAGCTTCGCGTCTCTCCGGAAGAGTTCCCGGTCCTGCTTGCCGATGCCCCACTAAACTCCAAGAGCAGCAGAGAAAAAATGGCGACCAGCATGTTTGAAACATTCAGTGTCCCCGCATTCTTCGTGAAAACACACGCAGCACTCTCACTGTATGCCTCTGGTCGGACCACGGGCGTTGTTATGGACTCTGGCGACGGGGTTTCCCATGTTGTGCCGATCTATGAGGGCTTTTCACTCCCACATGCGGTCCAGCGGCTCGATGTTGGCGGGAGGAATGTGACCAGTGCCCTGGTCAAGGGTTTGGGCGAGCGAGGGCACAAAATAGTGACACCGGCAGAGCATGAGATCGTGCATGACATGAAGGCGCGGTTTTGCTATGTGGCCCACGACTTCGATGATGAGCTCAGGAACTGGCCCGAGTCTTCCAAGTCTGGGCTAGAAATCAGCTACGAGCTGCCAGATGGTCAGGTTCTCACTCGTGGCAATGAACGGTATGTCCCCTGCCATGGTACTTTTTGGCTTTCATGGACGACAATTAGTTTCCGTGCCCCTGAGGCGCTTTTCCGGCCATCCCTGCTCGGACTTGAGTCCGCTGGCATCCAGACCAAGATGTCTGTCACTTTCTTCTGTTATTTTCACCTCACTGAATGACTTTGTAGTCATGACTCCCTCATGCGATGCGACCCCGATATTCGTGGCGATCTCTACGACAACATCGTCCTTTCTGGCGGGAACACGATGTTTCCTGGCATGGAGAGCCGTCTGCAGAAGGAAATAGCTGCTCTTGCTCCCCCCGGCATGAAGGTTTTTTCAAGTTCTGACCCTTGGTAGATTTTCATTACCTGACTCAATCTCCACGCAGGTCCGTGTTGTCGCCCCGCCTGACCGCAAATACTCCGTCTGGATCGGCGGCTCCATCTTCGCTTCGCTCAGCACTTTTCAGGATATATGGGTCTCCAAGCAGGAGTACGACGAGACGGGGCCGGGCATCGTACATCGCAGTCAGTCTTGGTTTCAAGTTGCTACTTACGCGGGTCATTGCCTGACTATTCCGTTACAGAATGCTTCTGAGCCTGTTGTCGTAGGCAATGCAGTCGGGCCATGAATCTTGATGCTTTCTGTTACCTTTTCATCTCATTCATCGGTCTGGCTCTCCTGGATGCGGTGACGAATGCCGCAGAAGCTGCAAAAGGCGAATATTGTCGATAGGAAACAACGGGCAGTATCACATGGGGCCTCTGAATCGCTTTGTGCTGGTGTTCTATGGCTAGGTTGAGAGGGCACCGCTCGTCAAAGGAGTTTGGCGCCTCATGGGATGCTGTCGCAGGCGTGTTATTGGCAGCCAATGAGTTTGGGATCATTTGTGGCAACTCAGTCTCCCTCGACACACTAGTACTGAAAGTCCCCAATTTACAGTCGCACACAATTCGGATGGCTTATAAGCCAAAATCTAGCATGTGTGTGTCCGTGTGAAGAGAATCATGATTCGCCATGTGGTGTCGACATTATTGATGCCGATAAGTTCTTTCCTTGACCTCCATGGCCCCTCATTCGAGTCATTCCAAGGAGCCCTTGAGTCAGAGTATGCGTTCAGTCAATGGATCATTTCTCAGCTGACTAATGAATCACCAGTGCCGACACGTTCTTCAAGTTGGGCTCTTGAACCGCCAGCGCTTCGAGCTGATAGTCAAACAGGACCGCGACTATCTAAAAATGCCCTTGTGGCGCAGCCCACTTTGCCACATTTAGAGTCCAACTCCCCTCTCCGGCTTAATATAACACATCCTGCGTCCCGGCGATCGCGGTTAGGTGGCCGGTCCTCAAAAAAGCAGTTGATTGCCTCGGTCACTCCACAACAGTCATCTGTCCTGCTCGCATTATTCCAGCAATCTCGCTTCCCAACAAAAGCTCAACATCAAGAAGTTAGTGACAATATCGGACTCAGTAAACAGAAAGTTCAGGTACTGTCCAAACTAGATCTAATGATTATGACTCGGAGCTGACTGGTAGAATCCTCATATAGGCATGGTTTGAGGTTAGTTTGCATATTCTGTTTCCGCTGCCAGCTGTTTTGCATCTTTGTTGCTTTATATAGACACAACGACAAAAGAAGCATTGGTCAAGGACAGGATATAGAAAACAAAACACCTCTTATCTGAATATCAACCCTGGCTCATCAGTCTACTTTCAGAGAAGTCAGTCTGGTGGATATAGTTTAAGAAGCTCTCAGAGCAGTTCAAGTAAGCTGTTTGAATGGGTACAATTCTAATTCCATACCTAATTTTTTTAGATACCTCTGATGAAAAAGCCTCAAGTTCATCTTTGAGTGGCCTCAGTTCTGCAACAAGCTGGGAGAGTGGAGACTCAGAGTTTCCACAGAGCCCTACTTTTATGCGTACAATGTCACAACAGGGTATATTAGTTGAGGCATCACAAGTGGATCAGTATCCTTGTGATACAGGAGGGACAACAGATATATACCAGGGGAAAACAGGCCTTACTCCTGTGAGTTTTCATAGATATGCAGATATATATATAATTAAATTATTTACATTACAGGTTGCAATTAGAGTATTTCGCCGACATTCAAATGTCTCTCAGAATGTAATACAAGATGGCACCAAGGTTAGAGTCTCCCTAGTTGCTGTAATAAAATTCAACTTTATGACTACTAGCATTTTCTGGAGGCTGTTTCACAGCTGATGATATTAGATCATCCAAATATTCTTAAATGCTTAGGGATATCTCTTAACTTTGGGCCACTGCCTTCCCTGATAACTCCATTGTGCAATCATGGGACAATTATAAAGTATCTCACTACCAATTCTCAAACATTGCAATCCAAGATCAGAATGGTAAATTAGTCAAATTAGCTGAATCTTGCTTATATGTAAAATAGACTATTGAGATTGCAGCAGGGCTGCAGTATCTTCATGAGCAAAATCTGATTCATGGAAATCTGAGTACAGTATGACACAATTATTTTAGAAATAAAAGTTAATATCTTGATATAGAAGAAAATTCTCATTGATGACTCCTTTCATCCTGTCATTTCTGGGCATTACACAAATTTCATCAACCACACATTAGGATTTCAATCTGTCACAGCTGCTGCATCAGTCTTTACTCTGCCTTTGAGGTTCTCTGCTCCAGAATTGTTTTCAGCTGATGTTGGGACCATGCTACAAAGAAGCATGCCTGCAGATATATATGCTTTCAGTATGATTATACTTGAGGTTTATTCTCTCTCTTGGTTTAATTTTCTGATTTATTTAAGATTGTAGATTATTTCTGAGCTGCCTCCATTTCATCATTTAGTAGCAGAGCATGCAGTATTTAAATATATCATCAGAGGAGGCCGACCGCTGCAGAGAGATTTAGATGCCTTTGTTACCCAGGAGTTATGGAGTCTTCTTTCAGGAATGTGGGAGGAGCAACCTTCAAACAGATCAATAATACAAGATGTCTTTGATTCTCTTACTACAACAGTCATGTGAGAACCATCTAATATTTAAATATTGATCTATTTCTAAATACCTCCTTAGGGTCTCATATCAAGACAAAGATTTCAACTTGATAGATGGAATGGGAGGAGCTTCACAAGCTACAATGCTATTAGGCAATACACAAAGTTTTGAGGTTTGCTTATTATTCAGCAAAGCATATTGAGTTGACTGTTTCTAATGTCAATTTAGCCAAGTCAAATATCTAGTGGAGAAGAAGCATCATTTTGGGCAAGTCATTTTTCAGAGATTTGGTTACTTATATACTTATAAGAAAGTGTAGCAATTATCTCACCCAGAGACACATATGGCCGACTTGACTGGACGTGTTAGCCAAGACCAACAATATCCATTTGCAGGAGGTGGAAATGCCAATATTTACAAAGGGAAATTGGCACGGGATGATGGGACAAAAATTAGAGTATGTTCTTACCCCAAGGATTAAATACACTATTTATTTACTTATACATCATCTAGGTTGCAATCAAAATGATCAGAATGACTGATGATGGGTCTGGCCAGAACGCCACTGATCCTGTGCGGATGCCCATGGCAATTTACCCATGGGCATTTTGACCTGTAGGTTACAATAACCTGCAGGAAACTATAGGGTCTTTTAACCTGCAGGTTCTTGTTTCCTGCAGGTTACGTCAACCTGTAGCTTACTATATGAACCTATAGTATCTATCAAAATTATAAAACCTGAAAAATGCAATTAAATTGAACCCTGCAAGATAACTTATGGACCTGCAGGTTACTGCAGCCTGTAGGTTCATAAAGCCTGCAGGTTCAAATAATCTACAGGCTGCAGTAACCTGCGGGTCACATCAACCTACAGTAACTTATAGCCTGCAGGTTACTATAGCCTGTAGGTTATAAGAACCTGTAGGTTACTATAGCCTGTGATTGCTGGCAATGTTTGTGAGCGGCCGCACAGTCAGCGCCAGAAATTGAGTGTATATTGATGATATATATTCTAATATGCACAAATCTATAGGTCAATAATGGTATACTGGCTACACAAGCTCTCACTGCTCAGCCCGCGCCCTCCCCCGACCCCAGCCATCTTGCAGCGCGTGTCCCACCAGACCGAGTCTACCCACGGCCATTCGCCGGCCTTAAGGAGCACGACGCTCGACCTGGGCACCAGGCCGAGTCTACCCCACTTCCGGCCCAAGTAGTGATGGCCAGGTTCGGTTCGGGTTTTCAGTTCGAACCCGAACTTAACCGGACCGAACCGAGGTTCGGTGTTCGCGTTCGGCCAAAGGCCTTTCCGAACCGAACCGGAGCTCGGGTTCGGCCGGGTTCGGGCTCGGCCGGGTTCGGGCTTTTGTGGCCTAAAAAGGCCGGTTCGGGGCCGGTTCGAACCGGGGTTCGGCGTTCAGGTTCACCGAATCCGGGTTTTGAACCGAACCGGCGGTCCGCGGGGTTCGGCCAAAATGGGCCAAGAACCGGACCGAACCGGACTTGGCCATCACTAGGCCCAAGGCCAGCCATTCGTCCCCATCGACAGCGCGCCTGGACGTCCGCGCGAGCATGCTGGCCTATTGCGCTCGGCTTCAGCTGATGTGGATGCAGGCGGACACAACTCACCGGCCACCCCACCCCTTGCTATTCTCGCCATCGTTCAGCGCGGTCCATCGGGCTGGTGAGCTCGGTGTCGGAAGAAGATGTCTGGTTGTGTGTCGGGGAAAACGACCAGAGGGAGATGGTGGGGGTTGCGGAAAGAGAAGCGGTGGGGCGTCGTCACATTGATTGTCACCGTGATGGCCTGCATGATCTTACCTACAGGTTCATGTATCCTACAGGTTCCTGTCTCCTACAGGTTACGGGAACCTACAGGTTACGAGAACCTACAGGTTACAGGAACCTGCAGGTTACAATGCCCATGGGCATACCCATGGGCATACCCATGGGCATACCCATGGGCATACCCATGGGTACGTGCACAGGATCAGAGTCGGTCTCGGTCTGGCCAACAAGAGGAAATCCTACGGGCAAGTATTTTTTTTTTTCCTACTGATAATTATAATATAATAATATAGAAAATGAAACGGGAGGTTGATGTATGGTCAAGACTCCAGCACAAGAATATTCTGCCTTTTATTGGGATCTGCAATGATCTTGCAGGTGCCCCATATCCTGTTATTGTCTCCCCCTACTGCAAATTTGGGAATGTTGCAAAATATCTTAAGAGCAATCCCAAGGCTAATCGCCAGGAACTGGTCCTTGGTATTGCATCTGGACTGCAATTCCTGCATGATTGTAAGGGCAACCCCGGAGGCCTGAGATCAAGGTCCTAGCAGGGGAGGATCCAAAGAGTGAATAGAAGTAAGCAAATACAAGTGAGGCTGACCTAGCAGGGGAGGATCCAAAGAGAAGAAACTCTAAGGGTCCGCCTGCTAGGTAGCGGAACTATATACTGCGCTCTTGACGCGCCAAGGTTGATCGTTGCTCCGTGCAGTATGCCTGCGCCATGTCGCAGGCCAGGTCCCAGGGGGATCGCCAGGCGGGGGCGGCGATGCGCCTGACGGAGGCGGTGATGCGATCACCGGAGTCGGAACCGGAGTCGGACCGGAATCGGGATCGTCTCCGAGGGGCCGAAAGGGAGGTTCCCCTGACAATGATAATGAGGTTATCCATGGAGATCTCAAAGTTGTAAGTGCATTTCCTGTTTCCAAAGTGCTGAACATAACAATACAAACAGCAAAATGTGCTTGTTGACAAACATGGAGTGGCCTGTATCTGCGACTTTGGGATTTCAAAAATTGTTAGCAGTCGCGGCTTCACAACATCCAACTTTGGGACTGCCTGCTACATGGCACCTGAATTGTTCTTTTTGATCGACGGCCCAGCGGACTTGCCAGCACCAGATCTGACAAAAAGCTCTGATATATATTCTTTTGGCCTTCTGGTTTTAGAGGCAAGTTGCATCAGGCATTGTCAGCTAGAACTCAAACTTCAGGCAGGTCCTTACGGCTCAGCCTCCCAGGGGACGTCCCACGCAACCTATTCTTTCCTGGGAGAGCTTGTTTGGCTTGAGCCCCAAGCAGGAAGATTATGACCCAGAGTTGGTCCCACCCTCTGTCTGGGCTATCTTGAGCATGTGCTGGTCTTTGGAACCAAGCCTGAGGCCAACAATTGCCTCTATCCATCATACGCTGACAGAGCACCTTGGCAAACCGACTTGAAATGGACCCTTGAAAATTGTACAATCTCAAAAGAGTATATACAACAGCTATACGGAAACAACAGCTAAGAACAAGTACAAGAAACACAATGGTAAGTGCGAAGAGAAAGATTACGGACCAGTCGGTCAATGCAAGTACTTCTCGTTCAGCGCGTGTACCTCTTTCGCAAGGAACGGCCAAGTCAACGTCCTCGCCAGCTCCTTCCGCAGTCTCTTTTGCTCAGCGTCCCCATCGGCATCGGCAGCAGCGCCAGCTCTCCTTGCGCGTTCCTTCGCCAACTCGACTTCCCACCCACACAAATTCCACATCAAGCGCATATTCGGCTGGATAAGCACGCTCAGCCGCCGACTGCGCACAATCAGGTAGGCGTCAACGAGCGGCAGCTCCAGATGCTTCATGACATAGGCGATCGTCACCGTAGCGCTTCTCGACACGCCAACGCGGCAGTGCACCAGAACCTGGCCCCCTTCCAGGCGGGCCTTCTCGATCCAGTCGCAAATCGGCGCGAGCTGAGGCTCAAGTGTGTCGATACCGTCGTCGCAAACGCCCTTGATATCCAACACCTTGATGCGGCCCGCCCGTTCTTCCATCCACAATGAGCCCTGGTTGCCTGGCCCTTTCCCAGCTATGAAATGCCCGTTGTGAGCCCGACACGACCCAGAATCGCACATGTCAGCAGTGGGCGCGTTGCAGTGACCGGGCGGAGGAATAAGCGCGCATTCGCCGACCGAGACGACATGTGTGATGCCCAAAGCATGCAGCATATAAGCGTTGGTAGCGTGATTTCTGAGAACAAGTGATGAGTTATTTTCATCAAGCATTTGAATCAATGACACTCACAGGTTACCAAGATATAAAAACGGCAAGACGCGACTGGGGAAGCTGCCGTCGAATCGGGGATCGTTAAACCACGACTGGTGGTCGCCAAAACTGGGTAACCACGGACTTGTTCTAGCTCGTGGTCGTCCAGAGCGCGGCTGAGATGTTGGGGGATGCGAAAGTGTATTCGGAACCGACGCGGAAACGGGCATGGCGGCAAACGAGACGCTTTTTGCTGGTGGTCGTCCATTTGGCTGCGGACTGGGTGATTTCGGTGTCGGCGCAATGATGGCAGGAGCATTTCTACTCTCAGCAGCCGTGCTGGCTCTCCTCATGATCCCATTAGCGGCAACATGCGGCTCAAACTGCTCCTTCTCCCGCTCTCCGCTCTTCATCCGTGCCTCCACTTTGCGCAGCATGCCCACCTCTCCAGGATACACAAAGAAACTTCTTCTCTTCGTAACTTGGAGCTCCAGGTACGCCTCCGGCAACGAGAGATGTTTCGAAGCCATGATCAACGACAAGGCCAACGGTGAAGACTCTGTGTACCCGTCAGATGAGTATACGAGAACTTTCAGCGGCCGCGATCGGGGGGCAGGTAGAGTGGGAGGTTGTGGTGTGGGACTAGTCAAACTTCTCGTTCTGGGAGTAGCGCCGGGAGGGGGAGAAGGGATGGGTGATGGGGCGGACGAGAAAAATGTGCTCGAGGGTGGGGCTGGGGATGTACTCCATCGTCTTCCATGCGAGTTGCCGTTGGGAACACCGTTAGCGTGTGACTCGGGCTCTTCGAGAGGGCGCAAGCATTTCTCGAGGAAGGCAAGGACTGGTAACATGGCGTTCATCGACTGGGTGGTATTGGGTGGACTGCTCGGGAAAGGGAGATGAATGACAGTGTTGGCATTGGGTGGTGGTCGAACGCGTTTGATGTCGCCCTCCAAGCGCATTTTTTCTGCCCACATGCTCTCTAGCATCCCGATATGCTCCTCCGCAGCGCGTAAGTGAGCCACACTAGGGAACGGAGCCATCTCGTGACACTCGACACAAATATCATAGCCCATTCCCGCGGCAGGGGGGTTGGTGGGAAGATAGTTGAAAGGATCTTGTGGATCAGGAACTTGGTCGCTCGGATGTGCCTGGAGAGGTAGACTCAATGGAACATCTCCCGAATTTCCTAGAAAAACTTGTCCCAAAGTCGGTCGCCAATGGCTTGCGGTTGTTGTTGTCGACAAGTCTTCTTCGTCATCAGAATCAGATCCAGAGGTTGCAGCTCTAGTTCTTGATCGTCGCCGGACCGTCAAGATCTCGCTAGCTTTCGTCAACTCCCTCATTTCGTCTCTCTCCCGTTGCCCAAAATCAACAGTGTTGGGCGCCGTCTCGGCTCTTGTATGTGCTCGAAGCGGAACAGCAACAGGGGCGTCTGGCTCGCCAGAAGAAGAATCGATTTGCATGCCGTCTAGTAATCTTGACCGTGTCTTGGCCTCGCTGCTTTCGAAAACCCGCATCATTAGCTCGGGAACCTCCTTCTTGAGCTCTCTCGAGTCGGCATCGAGGACATAGACATTATACTCCAACGGAGCTTCGTCTTCGTCGCCGTTTAGTCCAAGTTTGCGAAGTCTCTCCGCACGTTTGCGTTGAATCGCAGTGGCAAAGCGCTTGGCGAGGGGCACCAACATGCGCGAGCCCGACAGGCCTTTGGGCGAGTAGACGACAATGTCGGATAGTGTGGCATAGATTGGCTGGCGTTTGTGGTCAATTACGTGTGGGTCTGGATTTTTTGGGAATTGCGACTCACGACCTGGATCCCAAAGTTCCGTAATGAGATCCCGTCTGGCACACGAGCAGGACGGAACTCCCACTCCTCGGTTTCTTCGGCAGCTCCGTTGGTATTAGGATTAGCACTAGCGTTCTTAACTGCAGCTAGCGGGGTACTGTGGGTTAACGGAGGACGCTATAAATTATCGGTAAACGCGCCAACGAGTGGAATATAAGGATGCACCTCGACAGGTCGAATTAGTTCTCTGGGATGGAAGGTGCATGTGAGGAAGGGTGGGTTGAGAGGGTCGATGCCACTATCTTCTATTGAGGAAGGTGGTGAATGGGCTGAGTATTGAGAAGGAGTAGACGAGTCGGTTGAAGGAGTCATCGGTGGTGGAATAAGGGAGGTCGGAGGAGGTAAAGCACTAAAGACAAGGTCATCGTACGACACACAAATACTGGTTGAATACGCACATTTCCATAGGAGGCTCGCTCGTGGAGTTCCCAAGGGGGTCACCTCGATGGTGAACGGGATGCATGTGTTTGGCATTGTCGTCATTTGTGGCAGGGACCTCCTCCAGTGTTTGCACTGGTGGGTGGTCGCCATCGACTATTTGGACAGAAGAGTCAATGTCCATGTCGATTAGCTCGTCTTCTTCAGACTCCTCGTCACTGAACCCGTCGTCGCTATACCCTTCACCGTCGTCAACCATATTCGCCCCCTCAAGCTCCATTTCCTCCTCAGCGACAACCCACACTAGGCCACGGAACTTTGGCGGTCCTTTCGGCGCCGTAGCCGCAAAGAATGTGTTCTGAGCGTGGTTATCGCCCTCCAAGCCATGGAGGAATGGGAAGAGCACTCCGTCGGGTGGGTGGGCAAGGAGATGGGCGGTATGTAATGTAGCGAATTGGGAGGCGGAGATTACTTTGGCAGCGGGAACGTCGTGTAAGGTCGTGTACTGTTGCGTTTGCGTGCTGCGTTCGTCGTCCATAGCGTAGAGACAAGGTTGGTCGGGGTAGAGATGAGTTGCCTTTCCAAGAATGAATTGGATGGTCACACGGCCCTGCTTCGCGCTGTCACGCACCGCCTCGTGTTGATCCATCATTTTGACCGGCGTTCTGAGTATTTTCTTCATAAAGCCTGGACTTGGCGTCGTTGTTGCTCCAAGAGCGACCAGATACGAGGACAATTCTCTCCTTCAGAGCACAGACTCATATACGACACTCGTCCAATCTTACTTCGCCATGCTTTCGAAACCGAAGCCCGAAGCCACAACCCCATTTAGCATAAGCCATGTCCCGTTGCCATTTCCTCCCACGCCGCAATTGTGCCTTCGCTTCTATTTGATCTTTCGGGGTGCCTTCGCTTCGACGTCTGGCTGCGTTCTGGCCCTGGAATCTCTCTTCGACCTGACGCCATCGCTCACTCTCTTCCGTTGCTCGACACTTTCACGACGCAGTTCTCTTGTCCATCCCCTGAAAGCCGCCACGAAGTCTCTTATCGCACGTCCCGTGACCCAATTTCCAATCACCTTTCTCTCCACACAATTACACGCAATTCAGTTCTCTCCGCCGGAACAAACCACAATGCAAATAGAATTGTGGCCGCTGTCACTAGTTAGGGTGTTTCACCCGATCTCCGCTCATCCGGAACTGTCTTCCGGCGACAACCACACTGCGTAATCGTCGTCAGGCTGCTTCCCACCAAGTTTACTTCCATGGTTCCTGCACACTCTAGTCTAGGCAAGCCCATCAACACAAATTTCGACCCAGTGAAATCTAGGTATCAACCTCGATTGCATCCGGCTGAGCCACACCATGCAGTTTAGACATCGTGGAACGACAGAGAGGGTTGTCTCAGAATTAGATTAGATGAGGCAAACTCGATGACAAGTCGGCTTGTTTTGAAGATCTTCAGCTAGGCTAAGGGATTCAAACCAACAAACAAATTGACCAAGGCCACAACTATATCATAAAACCCATTATCATGTCAGACATCAGAAACGCGCTCATCAGCCATTTTCTCCTGGTCAGACGAGTCCACATTCTGCATTTGCTTCGTCTCGAGCGCGTGAGGTATCTCTTGGTCGCCGAAAACTGCATCCTAGGCCAGTTGAGCAGCGTTTATAAGCCTTGGACATAAGAAAATCACCATCTCTTCCAAGCTCTTGCCCTTAGTTTCGGGGAAGCTGCGTAGATCATCAGTTGCTGACAAGAACGCCGAGACAGGACCGACAAGAACAAGACAATGAATGCGTTGGCAATGTTTGTGCAGACAAAGAGAAGATAAAATTCTGGTGGCCGTTATCATGGCAGTCGAAATCGAGCCCAATCACGCACTATATTTCAACCTGCTCATGCCCAGCGGCGACACTTGCGAGATAAGCACGTTACAGGCCCCTATAACACCGTTAGCAGATAACAATTAATCATGGAAAGAACAGTCTACAATTCGCGCAGGTGCAAACAGCGGTCCCGATAGCGCGAACGCGCATTGGGAAACTAACAAAAGGTGAGTGGGGAAACACGAAAATGAGAGGAAGCGAACATTTCGCTCTGGTAGACCCACGAGACGGGTCCAAAGCTGATGCTGAAGAAGAAGGAGGTGAAGATCTTGACAATGGTGAGTGAAACAGCAACCAGAATTGTGCTGAACATCCATACGATGATGAACGCCACGCCTGTTGTCTGTGCTGTTCGGTTGTTCGAGTTTGGCCCTCCCCACTTGGCGTTGATAGCAGCCTCAATCGCGAGGGAGATCGCCATTCCAATGGCCCCTACACAAAATCAAGCAAATCTTTAACGCGAACTTAATATATACCTAGAATGAGCGGAGGTTTTCTTCCAACGCGATCCAAGACAAAGAAAATGAAGAGAAGAACAACAACTGCTCCGAGAGCGCCGTTGATTCCTGTTATCATCAAAACTCGGGGGCCACTCAGTCCCAGGTCCGCATAAACTGTCAGGATTCGTTAGCCTGACAAGGTCGTTATCGTCGGGCCTGGCACGCACGCGTTGGCTATGAATTGATCAGCACTATTCAGCATAAACAGTCTGACATACCTGAAAGTACGATGCAACATTAATTCCTATTCAGATGCTTTCAGAGCCGATTTAAGAACGCTAAAGTTGGACTTGCCGGTGAACTGGGTACATATTTGTACCGCCATCCCCGTTAAAGTTCTTCTCAGCATCGGCTTCGTCGCCCACAGGTCCGAGAATTTCGTGGAGTAGTGCGCTTGTTCATACCGAATTTGCTCTAGCCTATAGTCTGATTAGAGAAGCGGAGACCCGCCCAGAATAGAGCACGTACATTTCTGCAAACTCGAGGTCGACGAACTCTCGATTATGGCCATCTCCATGAAGCTGCTGCACGACCTTCCGTGCTTCTTCAATGCGTCCTTTGTCGACCAACCACCGTGGAGAGAATGGAAGGACGAACATTCTGACGGTGGTTTATTTCGGCACGGCAACGGGTGGCTGATCTTGCTGCTTACCCAACAAACAGCAATGCGGCGGGGATTATCTGGATGGCAAGCGGCACGCGCCACTGTGCATTGCTTCTGATGAACTGGCAGCCATAGCCCACCCCTGCGTGCAGACTTCAGAGAAGCAAGATACTATAGCGCGACGGTCAAGACACACAATTCGCAACCAAGAAACCGATGGCAATCATGACTGGTAGAATGTTCTCAAGCTTCTCGAGCACGGTGAACTGCGGGCACTCACATTGAGTTAAGCCTGTCAAGAACCCGCGCAGCTTCGGTGGGGAGATTTCGCTTTGGTATAATGGAACAACTGATGTCTTTAGCGCCGTTCCAAAGCACGCAACCCGTGCTCACCCATGCTTAGACTTGTGATTAGTCAGTACATAGGACAGACCGCGGAGGGATAAATATACTCGCCATCCAATTGCCAATCCTGCGATCAGCCGCCCGACGATAAGGTACGATACGTTTCGCGCGCCAGCTTGGAGGCTGCATCCAAGAACCGCGACGAGAGCCCCCAGCTGAATAGTTCGCTTCCGACCGATCCGAGTGGCTAATGAACCAGCAGCTGCGGCCCCGAAAAAAACCTTAACCTTGTCAGCACACCTGCCGAAGACGCGTAAACGACCACGTACAGCCGCCAGCAAACTAAATTGCCATTAGTATAAATCAGCAGGCAGTCGGACCGGTAGACTCGATGGAGAGGCAGAAATTGGCGAAAAGGAGCTTACCGTTGATTAGTGTTCGTCACGGGCCACCCGCGGGTAAATCCGGGGTGGCCCGCACCCGTCCCCGCCGATGACCCGGGCCCGTGGCCGCGGGTGCGGGTACCCGCGCTTTGGCTAGCGGGCCGCGGGTGGCCCGCTTTCCCGAGGCCCGCCCGACCTTGATGGTGGGCAGATGTGCTGTTGACCGGTCGTTGCCGTCGACCTTTCGCCTGACGACGGTGTCTGGGCTCCTCGGAGCTTGGCCAGACTGTTTTTGGGTGACATCTCGTCTTGCGACAGGCCCCGGCCCCGGCCACCGATCACCGGCATGCTGGCTAGCCGGGACGAGCGGGCCAGGCTGCGGGCCAGCGGGTTCAGGGCACCAGGCCCGCACCCGTACCCGCGGAGGCCCGTCCTCGCGGCCCGTCACGGGTCACGCCACCCGTGACAATCACTACCGTTGATACAATTGCACCAGTTATGTTGGGACCAGGCTGGTGGAAGAAGACCTGAAACCGGTCGAATTCGAGTGAGACCACCGATCCAATGATTCCAGAGTCGCTGAGTAGGCGTTGTGCATGTTTTGAATTCGTTGTAACCTCAAAACTTACTATCCTGGAAAATTTTCAGTGGAGAGTAAACTTGCTGGGAAGCGAAATACGCACCAAACAGAAAGCTAGTGTTGGTTCAGCATTTACTGGTATAAAGGATACTATGTCGACTCACGATCCCAGCGCGGAGAAGAGCGCAACCGAAAAGTTGAAGAACACGCCCATCTCGGAAGGTAAGAGAGCTTCGAGGGTCAAACTTGCAACATCGACGAGAGCGGCCTGGGGGGTTAAGTAGCTGCTGCTCCAGAGTCCTAGTGACAGCTACGTCGGGCCACGGGAGAGGAAGCAGGTCAGACGACGTACCTGTGGCAATAGAAGGGAACGCTATTCAATACATTAATACCAAAGTTGCAGCAGGAGAAGACAAACTTTGCTGGCGCATCAAGCATCTTGAGTTAGAGGTGTGATCTGCTGACGTGCGGTGAATAGAGTACAGTGTGCATAACGGTGCCTCGAGAGATGCGGGAGTCGAAGAATCTAGGGAAAAAACCCAGTGATAAAATTGACCCAGGCCTTCCGGATCTCAAACAGTTTGGGCAAGTGGAGCGAAGTAAGCGCAGTTGATTGCTAGTGTGGGCCTAACATGCATCACAGTTTCGTCTTGGGCTCCGCGCTATGATGGTTGGTTGAACCAAGTGATAAAAACAGACGCGTCACACGTCACGTTTATGAAAGCTTTGATCAATCAGTCGAATCCTGCGAGACTGGTTAAGGATTCTCGAGTTTGCCAGTGGTTCTTCGTCAAATTCAGACAATAATGCCAACAGCTGCCAACATACAATTACATTTAATTCAGGATTCATCTGACACAAACTCAGGCAGCAGGCGGCGCAAAGCGCACATCGCATCTGACGTACAACTCGTCGCTAAGTAGCGTGTCCTCTCCATCCTTGTTAGCAGGATCGAGGAACGCCGCGTATGATGGGCTGAAAGTGCATGGGAGAAGGTAGGGTAGCCGGGAGCCTAGGAACTTGAACACCATCCTCGTTGGCTAGGCTTTTAGATGACATGGCGAATAGCGCGCAGGCTTGACATAAAAAGGTCCCCCAAACGAGCGCTGGAGGCAAGAACTCCACAAATGCAAGCGCAGATCCACGCGTGAAGATACGACGGAAGTAAGTCGATTCTGGTATCTTCGAGAGTCTTCCAATTGTTGAAAGCGGCTGGGAAGAATTGGGCATCGATATGAAGTGGTGCTGCATCATGAACTGCGATTGATAGTGCCCCACGTCGCACAGGGGCACAGGGAAAAAATGTTTTTCGTCGACAGCGTGACTGTGACAAGGAGTGACGGAGAAGGGAAGAAGCCGATGAGAAGCGTCGCTGGTTGCGTCGCTGGGGCTGAAAACCCTTTGAATGGTGCTGGAAAATGGATAGGCAAGCGAGAGGGCATCTGGGAATGTCGTTTGTGGGGTGGAAATGGTGAAGATAGTGTTTTCAACGAGAGTAGCAGCGGAAAATGACTTCGGCGACGCGAGGAGGGGAGCTAATATGAGAGTACGAGGAGACGGGTTGTTTGATGCCCGGGGCGGATAATGGAGAAATGAGATATTGCTTGCTGCAGTGCCGCCTTGTCGAAGTTTATTCCTGAGGAAAGACGAATGAATGTGGGTCAGAATGAAGTATGTACCGACACGTACCAAGGAGGCACATTTCGCAGACGGTTTGTATCCCATAGGCCCAGTTTCTTTTCCGATATTTGAGGTGTTGTCGTAATAGACTCGATTGTGCATCGTCGAGACAAGCGGGAGAGATAGGCCGTTCAAGAATTGTTGGGGCTGGTCTTTTAGCCAGAGCCACCATCAGACGTCTGCGAAGATGTTAGAACGAAGGACATAATTCACGGATATAAGAGGAGGAACCAAATGACCTATCATTTCCATCCTTCAGAGTCCCTCCTTCGAAGAGTCAGGGTATATATGCGCCAGCGCCGTCCAGTGTTAGGCAGGAACGGCTGTCGGTCCGAGTGGAAAGTTAATACTAACAGGACACCGTGCTGCTGGTGGAACACACCAAGCTCGCAGAGCATGAACACCGATTACGGTGTCTGGTGGTTGAGAGAGACGATTAACCTAGGGTAGGAAGACGAAGTCGCGATGCGCAGTGGAAGAGCAATAGAAGAAGGATTTGATTCTGGTCACACTGTGACTCAGCGCCGATCTTCCGTCGTCTTTTCATCATCCACGCATAAAGTACGCCGCCCAATTAGTTTGCTGGTGCTGCTGAATGTCGTCGTCCGATCTTCTGACATCAGAGCCTCGCAATGGTCCTCCCCTCCCATTCGAGATTTGGGGCGCTATCTTCGAATGTGTGTTCCTGGCCGCTCAAATTTCTGACGAGAATTGGGCATCGGGTCAGCTCATTCGCATGGACACGGTCTCCCGGAGCTCCTTATTCAGGATTAGCATGACTGCACACTATCCTCTGCGCATCGTTTGCAGTGCTTGGAACGCCGTAGTCCTCTCGACCGCCCCGCTGTGGACAACGATTACTGTTTATAGAGAAGATGAACGGGCGCCTGAAATTGCGCAAATGGCTGTGCTTCGACATCTGGAGTTGTCCAACGGCCATCCGCTTCGGGTCACCCTTTGGGGCCGATATGACTGGCGAGCCTCCGCCAGGAATGATCAATTCACGGCGCTGATCGACACCCTTTTCAGCCAGTCGGCGCGGTTTATCTCGCTAGAGCTCATCAGGACGGGGATTAACATACTAATAACACTTCCCTCCAACCTTTGCTCTCTGCAGTCTTTCGTCTGTTTGCAGGCCTCCCGTCGATTCCGTGATGAGAGCAATTTCTTGGCCGCGCTGAAGGCCGCGCCGTTGCGCCGCTTGCGCATCACGGTTTCAGAGCCTGTGGAGCCCGATATGCAGGCGATTCTGGACAACGTCGATTGGCGGAAGCTGGACTCCCTCGCATGTAGCAGCAGGCAAACACTTTTGCATTACTTGGCAAACCCTGCTAGTGGGCCGCCTGGGGTCGCTGGGGGAGTTAAATGCGTTGAGCTCTTTACACTTGTCGAATATACGGCCCACCAAGATCTAGTCATGTGCACAGCGCTCAGGCTAGAGGTGCTCAAGCTCGATGGCCGCAACAAAAACTGGCATCGCATGCTGGAGGCACTGGCGCCGCCTGCCCTCCAGTTACTCGCCATCTACAACAACTGCACCTTCCGGGGAAACCTACAAGTTGTTGGCCACCACCTTGCACAGCACTATGTAAGCGTAACAACGCTTGCGCTGCACTACATCGCTGATGTATCATCAACGAGCCTCGCGTGTCTGCTCGGCAACCTCCCCGCCCTCGCCGTGCTGGACCTCAAAGAGCGATCCCACCCGGTGTACCCTCTGCATGGCCACCATCTGCTTGCCCAACTGATGAACCTAGTTCCGCGCCTAAAGCGCAACACAGCGCCCAGCGAGTTGGCTTTTGCACGTCTGAAGGAGATCACATACGAGCTTGACGATCTGCCGCTGTCGTTGGCTCAAGATGGCGGAGGCCCGACATCCATGCAGCGCCAACTGCTATTGGACACTATCACTTCCTTCGTCGAGTACTGGGGCAACGTGCCCACTATCGAATCCGTCACGGTTGCCCAGAGGACATTTACCGTCCATGGGCTCGAACTGCGCAACCAGCTCGCGAATCATTCTGTGTTCCTGCAACAGCGCCGCAAGTGGGTGGAGGAGGGTCGGCTGGTGGTGGAAGTTGGGCTTACTTGAGTGAACTTGAACAGGTAAATGAAATTACGTACAGTGCTGTCTCCATTACTATGTATCCCAAAACAAGTCAATATGTCGCTCGAAGATTCAAACGGGTAATTCACACTAGGTGCCGGCTGATCGCCGTCTTCGACCTTGCTTTGATAGTTTTTCAACTTTCTTTCCTCCCTTGAGGTGTGAGTTGTGAGACATGTTGCATGACATAACTTGAACTTTTCACTCAACCACTTAGACTCCAAATGGGAATGCCGGCACTGTGGAAAATTTGGGTATTGTACTATTTTAATCAAGTGTCTGTGTTATGTGTTACATTGACTGAAAAACTCATTGTTAAAATCACCTTAAATCAGAAGAAAAATGTTTAGATCCAAAAATTCAAAACACTTGATCAAAATAGTATAATAGTAGGTGTGTTTGATCTGCAAGTCATAGTACACCTTGCAACTATCCAGATCACATCCTAATAGCAAGCCTTGTCTAATTGATCAAAAGCCCATTTTTTTGACATATCTCCTTGATTTTGGCCTTATAAACTATACATTGATGAGAGCTACATACCTATATAAAAATTTTCATCCAAATTCACCTAGGGGCGTTGGAAATCAGCTATTAAGATACCATGCAAAATAGGTTTTTGAGAATATCTTTTTTAAAAAAATGGGGAACTACTGCAGATTGAGAGACTGTGTTTGTTGGAGGTCTTAAAGGACCCTCTTGCTAGGGATGCTGCCTATTACCATAACGGCAATAGTCATTGACTTTGATGGTTTTGTGAAATCTGTGCAGAAGCGCTAACACAGAATCCAACTCAGCCAAAAGACCACTATAACCAGATGCTGGCTATATGCACTGCTACTATATATCTATATAGCTGGTACACACATTTTGCATGCATGTAACAGGATTTCTATGGCCACAGCTGTCAGAATCACAGCTGTTGAAAGCTTGCAGGACCAATGGCATAGCAATAGTAACAGGCCTATGTTATTCTCAGTCACGTGCTTCCCACATGTGCATTCCTCCTAGGGCACCTGTTCCCCATCGTCACATGCTGCATGTTGTGGACCCTTGGTGGCCCGACACCAGCGCTGGAGCAGACAGGCTGTGTCTTATCCATAACAGTTGTCACACTGTTGTTAAGTGAAAACCTCACAATTGTTAAATTGGACTCTGCTGTTGTTTGGTTATTTTAAGAGTCATTCCCAAAACGGCCATTTGCTGTCAATGACAGTCAGATCAAAACACCTCCCCACAGATATCTTCCTAACTGGCCATTCAGGACTCATGCTAGTTCTTAGATATGCACTGTATGTCACGGTTCGGGTCGGGCCGTCCGGGCCCGAACGGGCCCGCACGGGCCCGTATACCGCCGTCCTCCTGGACGTCCCCTCATTCTTCTAACCCCTCCTGTTCACATACCGTAGCGTATAAAAGTCGTACTTACAAGATGTAGTCGCTAGGCTAATATCGTCTATTCTCCGGGCGAATACCCATCTCTCGTGCTCCTCAGACCCCTTCGAAGTCGGACCCCCCGACGCCCCGATACGGCCCGAGCCCGACGCTGACAGAATATTAGCCTCCCCCACGAACGCAAGAAGCGCGACAAATGTCTACCGAGCACGACAGTACGATGGGCACCCCCGCAAGCCAGGGGGACGAACGTGCCCGATTCATGGCCCTGGGCCATAGCGAACAACAGGAGTTCCTGTTCGCCCATCTGTTCCGAACGAGTCAGGAGATGGAGCAACTCAAGGCGGAAAACACCGCCCTGACGATCGACAAGTGGTCCTCGAGGCCGAGCTGTCCCGAGTAAACGGGGAATACGCAGCTGTACAGCAGGGAGTCATGCAGAGCTACGATCTGCTCCGCCAAGCCAGAGAGGACTTGGCTCATCGGCCCCACGGGGAAATACACGAGTAACCGTCTCTCCCCTAAGGAGTTCACGGGCGACGCCAGCGAAGTAGACGCCTTCCTGGCCGATTGTTGGTTGGCCTTGAAGCCAACCCGAATGTTTATAACGATGAGGTGCGAAAGATTTCGTACGCACTCTCCTATATCAAAGGCGGGAACGCGGTCACGTGGAAGGAAAACGTCTCCCAAGCCATGAAGCTCCGTACCGCCGCAGCCTATACTACGTACGAAGGCTTCGAGAAAGCCTTCATCGCGGCCTTCCGCGGGGAAGCTCACGCCGAAATCGCGCAGCAGAAGATGGAAACCTTCGTCCAGACCAAAGACATGGACACGACTGTCAGACTGCGGGTCGGGCCGTGTGAGGACTTCTCCTAAGAACGCGCGCCTGGAACAGAACAGACGGATAGTCGGGCCCGCAAGTATGGCGGGCGGGGTAGATCGAAACCGAAAGGGCCCGTGAACTCGGTCCCTTGCCGTAGTCGGTGGTCGAAGGTTCGAATCGGGTCGTGTCGGGCCCGATGAGTCGATAACGTCTCCTCGCACGGAGTAAGGTAGTTCTTCAGACGATCTAAGCGATAGAGTACAGGGTACACTATCGCGCCTTATATACGCGGGCCCGCAAAGGGGGTGATCGGACACCCTGGCCTCTCCTCCTCCTCCTCGCTCCCGTTCCTGGCCGCAGAGGGGACGATCGCACATCCCTTGCGGGCCAGGTGCTACTCCTGACCTCCTAGCACTCCTCCCCATTCCCCTGGTGTCGAGTTGGGCTCGGCGACGGCTCGACGTCGTTCTCGGTCACGTGCTTCCCACGTGTGCGTTCCTCCTACTGGGGCGCATGTTCCCCGTCGTCACGTGCTGCGTGTTACGGGCCCGCAATGGCCCGACACGAGCGCCGGAGCGGACGGGCCGGGTCTTATCCGTGACAGCGACTAGTTATTTCACGGTCCTCGACTCTCTCAACAAAGTCGCGCACTACGACGACATTAACCTTATTCGCGTCGCCAAGAACTGTATGCTCCGGGGCGTTACCGAACGCGGTCTACCGAAAGGACACACTCCCCGACACCTACGAGGCCTGGAAGGCAGAGGCCATCAAGCAAGACGGCGCACGCCGCCGCTACCGCATTTTCGACGAAAGCCACAAGGTTAACCACCCTCGGGCCAAAACGCCCCCGACGGCGCCCGCCCCGCCAAGAGCGGGCTCAGCAACCGCAACCCGTTCAACGGGTGGGCCCGAAACGCAGCGATCAGCGCCACTGGACCGACCGTGGCCGCACCCCGAGGAAACGGGGCAACCACGGTCGCCGGACCCTCGACGGGGCCCGCGCCTATGGAGATCGACCGGGCCCAGGCCCCCGCTACGGCCCGCAGCACTCGCTGCTACAACTGCGGCCAGGAAGGACACATCAGTCGGATGTGCCCGAACCGGGCCGCATCGGCAAACCAGATCCAGGCTATCTTCTCCGAGTTTGTCAAAGATAACGCGGATAAAGCGGATTTTGGCGATCGTCGCGAGTGAAGCCTATGCCCCCCGACGTATACCACAAGTGTCTCTAGTTACAACCCGCATAATCGATATTCCGTGTTGCCAATCCAGAGATACGTGGGACCAGACGTAGAAACCAACCCCGAACAACAAACCCCGCAACCCACCGTTTCCGCCCGCAGAAAAAACCCGCATAAAACCAAACGAGACACTCCGAGGCCCGCTTGGGAAAAGTTGGCCCGCGGCCAGCGCCGAGAGACTTGTCGCGCAAATTCAAGACCAGCCCGAGAAGGCTCGTGCGAAACTACAACAGTGGATACATCCGGCCCGACGAGCCGAGAACGGGCCCGAACTAGAAGAATTCATACGAACGGGGTACGCCCCCGACGTAGCCGAAGCTTTGCGACAACTGCAAAATGCTCCCCCCTTTCGGAAAAGTGAAGGCACCACGGCTACGCGGGTAGCCGTCACCCTTCAAGGGATCAACGACCTCCGCGGGTACTCGGTTGACGCCCTCCTCGACAGTGGCGCCACCTCCGAGTTCATGCACAAACGGTTCACGGAGGACTCGCAACTGGAACTCGAAGCCCTACCGCACCCAGTCCCAGTGTACAACGCCGACGGGACGATCAACGCCGACGGGGCAATCACCCACGTCACCCGCTTACGAGTCACCATTCAGGATCACTCCGAACTTCTGACGTTCGCCATCACGGACACCGGGAATAGTGACGTGATCATCGGGCATCACTGGCTCAAGAAGCACAATCCCGTGATCGACTGGCGTGAAGGGGCGATCGCCTTCACCCGATGCCCGCCCGAGTGCAAGCGGGCCCGACTGCTGGAACAATGGGACGAAGAGGACAACGAACCCCTGGGCAAAGGGGATCGCCTCTTCGTCACGCGGATCTACGACGAAGGTTCGAACGCGCCCGCCCACATCCGGGCCATGCAGAGCGTGGCCACCAAACTGGCCGCCGCCGCCTACGCTGCCGAGAAGCCCCGAACCACCGAGGAGAGTGTACCCGTGTCACGGTTCGGGTCGGGCCGTCCGGGCCGTAAGGCCGCACGGGCCCGTATACCGTCGTCCTCCTGGACGCCCCCTCATTCTTCCAACCCCTTCCGTTCACCCCTACGACCCTACGCAGCGCCCATCCGATCCGCCCTGGGACCTGGCGCCCATCCGATCCATCCCTAATACCGTAGCGTATAAAAGTCGTACTTACAAGATGTAGTCGCTAGGCTAATATCGTCTATTCTCCGGGCGAATACCCATCTCTCGTGCTCCTCAGACCTCTTCGAAGTCGGACCCCCCGACGCCCCGATACGGCCCGAGCCCGACGCTGACAGAATATTAGCCTCCCCCACGAACGCAAGAAGCGCGACAAATGTCTACCGAGCACGACAGTACGATGGGCACCCCCGCAAGCCAGGGGGACGAACGTGCCCGATTCATGGCCCTGGGCCATAGCGAACAACAGGAGTTCCTGTTCGCCCATCTGTTCCGAACGAGTCAGGAGATGGAGCAACTCAAGGCGGAAAACACCGCCCTGACGAATCGACAAGTGGTCCTCGAGGCCGAGCTGTCCCGAGTAAACGGGGA